AAATGAAGTAGAAATAGAACAGAAGCTCTTGTTAACGATAATAATTTAGCCAGTTACACGCTGCAGAATAAAAGTTTATGCAAGGGCTATTTCCGCCGAAATGTACTGCGGCCGAAGAGAGTTGCGGCCGAAAAACTTTGGCCTAAATGAGTAAGTAAGTAAGTAAGCGCGCGTGGAAAATTATCCGATTCAACAAAGAGACGAAAACTCGCTTTGAAGCTACCGATCTGGGGGTGCGGGTATGAAGTATAAGCTGTATTACTTACAGTAACAACGCAGTCTATTGAGCCTGCTATGAATGTTTTACTGCATTGTTTCCATTGGTCTACCGTATTTGCCGCTAGTGTGAGATTATTTATTTACTGGCAGGCCCCGCGCAAATTGCGCGGAATAATGAATGCAATGGGCAAATTATAACCTAGTGCAAATATTAAGGGGCCAGTGCGCTAACTGCCGCTAAGCTCCAAAACACGATTTAGAAACCGATTAAAAACATGACCCATTACGAGTTTTACCGAATGGCTCAACTCAGAACTCAGAATGCTACTATTGGCCGATTTCTAGCCACCTCCTAGGGAAGTTTCTTAATCACTACCGATTAAGAAATTTCCGATTTGCAAAATTCCCGAATTTCCTTAATCGGTCCGATTAACAAACCGATTAAGAAGTTTTCCGATTAAGAAATTTCTCCGAGGAAATGTGCTAATCGGAATCGTAATCGCTCAGAAATGCTTAGCGCATCTGCCTGTAAAACTCATGGCTGCCGCCTGCAGGTAAATTAGAAGCCTGAAATTCTACAATATATAATCTACAGTATACCAAAGACCAAATTCCACAGATGACGATAATGTCTACTGAAAAATTTGCCTGTCGCTTTCACTGACTACAGAGATGACCTTAAATCTGAAATGCAAACTTTTTTTGTGCCTTAAAGCGAAGAAACTTTTTTCATTCCCGTTTCTTGAATTCCAGGTCAGTTAACCAGTCATTTAAATTTCGCACACGGCACACCAGCTGCATAGGGACTTCGCAATTTATTAGAAGTTGCTTTGCTTTCCCCTTTTTTTGGCTGTAGAGTCGTAGACCATGCGAGAACAGTTTACTTGTACTTGAAATCCCATTTTTAGGGCTAAAACCACTGGTGCGCTTTATATCCCTGCTTAACAATCAGTACACTAACAAATGCTCTTCTTGCTATCCCTGTTCCTTTCTTACTATTGCTTTGACCACAGAACGCATCCACACAGCTTTATTTTAATAAGAACAGAAGCATTTCGTTGGGTTTCTTTCTTTATTTTAACCATTTTTCAAAAGCGGGAACTGTCACGCGACATTTTTGCATGCTTGCTGCTATGCGAGCTCTGCTCGTGCCGCAGCTCGGCGTCGCATACTCCGCCTTCCAGTAGCTATATACCGAACTGAAAAATTCATTTGTCCTATACAGTACTTAACAATGCAGGATTCCATCGTACATTGTACATTTCGCGCCACATCCAATTCCACCCTACCCGTTTTTAAACCGAACATGATTATTTTGGCATGTACAGAAAGCTGGATTTGCATTAATATGTATGTATCAGACGTTTTTTAATCCAAACACCATGTATTTGTAACATGCGAAGCAAACAGCTTGCTGGTCTTGGAAGCAAATCTTGAATATTTTATATTCCCCAAGTTGCCCAATTTGCCTTTCTAGAACACCACCTTGCCTTATCTACTGAAACGAAAACGTAGCAAATTTGCCTTAAATCACAGGCAGTTCTGCAAGAAAGGCAATCGCGCCCGCCCGGGAAAACACTTCACATCGTAGTTATGCGGGAACTGAATAAACCACTGCGGGGGTCTGGTACGTTCTTAAAATCAGGCTTTAGAACCATCCCACAGTCCCAAGATTCTTCGCGGCCATTTTGTCTTCTTTCTTTCGTTTTATTTTCTTTTCCAAAACTAAATTTCGTTGAGAAATATACATAAAGACGATGGAATATTAGGTATCTGTTATTGAACATAAAGTTCCATCCAGCTGCAACGAAACTGACAAACAAGCGTGTTGGCTGTTGAGTCCATAGGCTAAAAATAAAATAGCGTGTATTATTACACAGTTTGTGTAGTTTAAGTGTGCTTTGTGCATTTTTAACTTTCTAAAGCTGCAAGATTAGAAAATTAAGAATCCATCGAGAAAAGTTTAGAGGGGTCCGAAAGATAAAAATTTAAATTATGTTTTGTATTTTCAATGGAATTTGTTGACCTTTTAAGAAAAAATCGTTCGTCAGCTTCGCGCTTCACGCGAAAAGGATACTAGTATTATTTCCATCTAAAAGCTACATCGAGGTCACCGCACGTTAAGGTCATCAAGAATAAATAAACTCACTTCCTCTGTTCAAAATACATGGCTGGTATTTGTGAATTTGAATAATATTTAGAGTAATCTTGAGTAGTTTAGAGCAGTTGTCTATACTTTGGTATTGATTTTTTCACATTAAAACTGTGAAAGCAAAAAGCACGGCCTTGCAAAATGGGTTATGCTAGCGTTTTCCTAGCAAAATGGCTCGTTGACTTCGCGCTTCGCGTTGGTAGCAAAGCACTGATCCGGTCCAGGATGTGGGAATAATCTTCGTGCACAAGCAGCCCGAGCGGGAGGCGGGTGGGGTGGCCGGCAACCTCTTATACAGAAAAACCTGCGAACCTTCTGAAAAAACTCGTCGAAAATTCATTCAAGGAAAAAAACGGCAATGCTCAAAGTTGCCGACCCTGATGAGCGTGCACATTTCGGAATTGAGACATTCTGCATAAGGACGTTTCATGCCACCGTTGTGGAACAACCCAGGTTGTTCCACAACGCATTTCAGCATTGCGTTTGCTGAAATGCCCAATAACAGTGCTTCTGAGATTACTTAGTATTTTTCGTTTTCTAAGGTTTCCCAAGTTTTCTTATCGTTAGGTTTTAGGTTTCTCAGTTTTCTGTTTTTTTTGTTTCGTAGATTTCAGCTTCACTTTTAATATTACCTAGTTAATATGCGGCATGCGCTGATATGCTCAAAATTATGCCTGGTTGTTCTACAGATATTAAGAAATAATAGCGCAGCGAAATTTTTTCCTGCCACACCCGACCAAAAACCAAATTCTTGAAATTTTTTTCTCATTCGTTTGGGTTATTGGTTGCTGGTTTTCGTGGGGAAATGTGCAAAGTGTAAGTTTTAGCATCAGAACGCCGATAGCCAGGCCCGAATATAGCTGTTTGAGCACAGAAAAGTGTCTGGTTCCGCTTTTTTGCAGTTATATAAGTGTAGCGTCTTTTTGAAGTCCACTGTACAGTTAATAATTATTTGAAACGCACTTTAAGTCACTTTTACATATTATAGATTGTCAATGCTGCGTACTCAGTTCTAGCTCACGCCTGTTTGAAATGCCCTTGCATAAAAGCAGATTCTTAATAATTGTTGCTTTTTAAACACAGCCCTTCTCGAAGCTTATGCTCGGTTCACTGCTGTGCATATTGCTGTGCAGGTCTCGCTTGAGAGGATATTACCAGCTGGGGAACAACAGCCGCATCGATAATCAGCAGGGAGACCGGTTTGACGCAGAACGCCAAACATCGCTGCGTTGGGCAGTTTATTGTCGTGGGTGACGTAAATGGCGTGGGGGTGGGACTAATGAGTGCCAGACAGTGCAACAGTGTCCACTGATTGCAGATGAGTATATGAACTAAATACCTTACAGTCACGCAGTATACGACCGCATAAGGACGGGTTTTGCGGTACACTTTTAATGTAGACTTGATCAGAACCGGTTCCTGACCACGGCTTTTCACAACAGCAGCATTTCATGACCATAACGGTTCACAATGTATGCGTTCACCTCAGCTCGCGCAAGGCAGGTGGCCTGGACCTGTTGTAGTCTGACGTTGCAGCGGTCAGCGGCGTGTAACGCTGGTCATTTTGCCAGATTGACTATGCGTGGCACTGAGCTGTACTTGATGTGCGATAAGAAACCGGCCTACAGTGTAGTTCACCTGCCCTTAAATCGCGAATACAGACCATAAGAGTAGTTGAAAAGCAATTAAGAGTGAGTTATCTAGGAAAGGTCATGCTCAAACAAACACAGGCCGGACCACTGAAAGTGACAACCGGTAAGCCGCAAGCACACGTGCGCATGCGAGAGGTAAAACATCGTCCTACTCAAGGGACTTTATTGTATTACATGCAACAAAGATTAGTCGTTCATAGAAAGGAGGCAGAGGCCAGCGCACTGAGCAGCATGATGACAAATGCAGACAATGCTGAACGAGCAGCTGTCGTCCAGGGGTTTCACAGTGCTTCCTGGTTCCGCCAAGAGCGCTTGGCAAGTCCTGCACGTTATCCGGACGATTGTCCACTGATGCATTGAAGAATTGCCAGTGTCAATCAACTGAGTGAAGAACAGCAGCAGGACAGTAAAGGAAACTGCACTACCCTGGTCACGTCCTTCGTTGGTAGCAACGAGCCGGAGGTGGCCCCGGCGTAACAGGAGGCTGGGCAGCGCTACGACCCTGGGTCCGTGCTGTTTAACACCCCTTTCGGACGGAGATAAACGAACTGTGCTTCGCTGACCACGCCGGTGATGGGTCAGCCAAACGTCGCGATCTCAAGGTGACTAGATGTGCGCCTGCTGATGCGATGAGCAAAATTGGTACAGCGGATTGTCTTCCAGCAGACAGGATTCTTCTTTTACCTCCAAATATTCCTATTACATATATCACTATTACGCCCAAGACATCTGCCTACCGGATTAACCCGGAAAACTGGCTACCGGCCTACCGATCTCTCCAAAATCAGACTAAGTAGTTGTATTAGTCTGGAAAACGACGGACGCCGGTCCGGATCTCGTTCCCAACATTGACACATAAGGTCGTAGCTGAAGAAATTACGCATTGCGATCGAAGTAGTGACGAAGGATGGGTTGATGCTTTGCTTATCCTATGAAGGCGTGCAAATTCTTACTAGGCAATTGGTGTGTCCCGAGGCGCATCCATTCGGCGGCCGGACTCCAAAAAGGAACGAGTTGGCCAATAGCCATCAAGATCCGGATACGGTTGGTCACCATACGTCATTATTTCCCATAAAAGAACTCCAAATGACCATCTGCATGGGAGAACATGTCTACAGTGTATGTCCTAACCTTACGGCGTATTGCTTGATGTTACGTGCATGTCGCTCTGGTGGGTGTACTGATTTGTTAACAGAACCTCTAAAGCCAACCATCTGAAAGGTACCGGATCCTGTAACGTTCAGTCAATTAACAATTGTGGGATTAACAGGATGGCGCCCTGCTTAGTGCCAGTGAACCGATTGCGCGCGACCGTGCGGGTTAAATAATTCGGGTTAATGGTCTGCAGGCACTTGCAACAGAGCCTACAGTATTAATGCGGTAATTACCTCTGATTTTTGCTCGTAATTTTGAAGATTAGTGATGTTTCGGGCTAATCCAAAATCGGCAATTTTCATTGTACGATTTAGGCCAACAAGAATATTTCTTGCAGCCAAATCACGGTGAATAATCTGCAAAAGTTGAGTGAACTTCAGCCATACGAAAAACAAACAAAATCCTTTATTGCTTTACTGTCTGCTTAACGGGAAATAAGCATACTTGTTTCGAAACTAGAAAGTTCATGCCTCCCGCTAAATCCATGGCAAAGCGTCCCAAATCTCGTTGTGTAATTGAGCGCAATCCAGTTGGCTGTTCATGATCATTCTTGCTACGCTCGTGCTCCTTCCTTAGGAAATCCCGGAGATTTCCAAACGGTGCGTATTCAAAAATAAGAAGGAAGGGCCCGCCTTTTACGCAGCAGCCTAAAACCTTAATTATATTTCGATGAAATCCAGCCTTCCTCATAATGTAAAACTCATTAAGTAACGCGAATTCCGCCGCAGTTTCTGTAAACGAAAACGGTCAGTTCAATATGCAAGTGCAAATTTCGTATTTGAAGAAGCATTAACGTGGCATAGCAAGGCATAATTATACCACTGCATTAACTACGCTTATTTGTACTTTTCGTTGTTGTCATTTTGACGGCTACATCTTCAGTCACTCTTCCTTCACGCCGGCGATTGCTGATTGTGGCCTTATAGACCTTTCCAAAGGTCCCCTGGCCAATGGGTAAATCCAGACTGAAATTCGATAGGTCTTCTCGTCGGCGCTCCCATCTCGGGTCCCAGTCGGCGGGCAACATGTCTTCAGCTATGGTGGAATCGTCGTGGGTGGTCATAGTGGCGTGGGTAGTAACAATGGAGTTGGTTACGGGTATACCACCACCAGCCACATGCCTGTCGCCCACCACAGATCTAGGGATCAGCCGGCGGGAGGAGAAGGGAATTTTTGCAGAATTTTTGGCAAAACGATATGCACGGACTTTTTTCCAGATACAATAACATGCCACAGCAAGAAGAACGATTCCAACAACACCACTTCCAACAACGATGCCAATAAAGAGGCGGTAACTTGGTAAACTTGCAGTAGATACAACATCAGGATCTGCAGTTCCACAAAACATTAACTAAGATATTATCGTTAATTAATTTGTTTTAGAACAATTTATCTTAATTATTATAAATTTATTTTAAAGTGTCCTTATTGAGCTTTCACTGGTTAGAGACAGCGGCTTCAACCGCTTAGCTTGGCTTTAGCAGCGCTGAAAATCTGCACTATTGGACGCATTTGGGATCTGAGGAAGACTGAGAGCGTTTTGGCTGTTTGCAGCGGTAGAAATAAGCCGGTGATGGCTAACTGATGACGTCCTGAAAGTGCTGGGATGTCTCGCCCGAATCACGAAGCTCGGCCAGAAGCTTCAGAAGCTTGCTTCTGAAGATTTCTTGCCACGGCACTTCGACAAAGCCCCGACCCCGGGCCACGGCAGCTGCGTCAGCGGCACGCAGTCAGCAGTCTTATCAGATCCGGGCAACTAGGTAGAGATGTTCGTGATGGCAACGGACAGGCCGACTGGTGCCCGTCATCGTTCCCGGAGCTAGCAGTCATAGTAAAGGAATTATCCATCCGCCTTACCTCCTTCCGATCGGTTTTATCTGTACCGAACAGAATATGGCGTCAACTGAGTGGGCTACCAGCGACGCTGGTGCGTACTGTGTATCGATCAATGACCGGGTATACTGTATCTGCGGCTTTGACCAAGGTCATGTTTTCATTGAGTGCGTTAAAAACTGAACTGTATAGCTCTTTTATAAAGAGTTAATGCACAGAACGACGAAATATACGATTTATTCGTTTGGCAGGCGGAGTACATTAGAAAAAGAAGGAAAGTGACGACGAGCCGCATGGCACTCAACCACATATACATACATGCCCTACAGTGGATTCGGATACTGCACTGTCTCCAGAATAATCATACGCCTATCGAGGGCGACAAGTATAATACGTCTCTGGTAAGAAGGGAAAAAAAGTCTTAGGCTCCATGGGCCAGCTGATTGGCACGGAGTGTTTTGGAAAGCAAAAAACTAAGTATGCCATACCAAAAACAATGAATAGCCCGCTAGAACCACCTATGCCAGCAATAAAGCGGAAACTGATTTTAAGTTCGAGCAGATACAAAACCAGGTTCTGCGTAATAAATTTCATAAGAACTTAGGCTTTCATAAGCTTTCGTCTATTTCCCTGTAATTTTACATGAGCTTCGAAATCTTTATAATTTACTCACCACAGATATCTCAAATCATGTGCCATGCCTTGGTGTGATTTGTGATATCGCTAGCATGCTGACATTGGTTTTTCTGAACACTGAACTTACCGGACACATCAACATTGTAGGTAAAATAGGCTGTTCCTCCCAGATTTGTGGCTTCACACTGGTAGTGCCCACTGTCTCTTACTTGCAAAGATTCGATGCGCAAAGACAAATCTTTGCCAGTCAGGGAAATCCTTTCCGTCTATGTAGAATAGATTGAAAATGTTGAAATGAATACGAAACATTCTAAAAGGGTTTACGAATAAACACAAATAACGTGGACAATGAACATAGCTAATTATGAGCTACAGCCACGCTGCACAAAACAAAATCACCAAACGCGCTTATGCACAGGGTGTAATAAAATTTGTTACCAGTTGGGATTTTTATATCCAGAACTGACCATATTGAGAATCAGCCCGTCCTTTTTCCACGTCACTGACGGCTTGGGAAATCCAAGCGCCGGACAAGACAATGTACAGCTCGTATTAACGATTTTCCTAAGTAGGTTGGTTCCCGGATTAATCGTTTTGACTCCAGAGGACATCAAAATAAATGGCGCTTCCGAGTCTGAAAACCGTTGTATTCGTTTTATTTTATATGCCAACCAACAGAGGAGTCAAAGCGTAGAGCTGCCCAATACAAGACACTTCCGCGAATTCATATACAATACCGGCCTTTCCGCCGACGCACTGACCTGACACTGGGTCGCTGGGTTTCCCAGCTGTCAATTGCGAATCCGAAATAATTAGTATGGTCGCGTTTAGCCACGTTGTGCCGTGCCAATTGGTTGAGCGGCAGCCGATTACCGTTTTATCATCAGATAAAGTTATATCCTGCATCATCAGTGCGAATCCATCCTCTTCGATGAGGAAGCGATTGCTGTCATGCTCGCCTGCACCCGGAACTAATATCTGTTTGCCATTGCAAAACCACGTAACGGACGTGAGGTTTCTTCTGCCGTTAGTACTCGTATCGCACTCGAACACCATCTTCTTCGTTCCTTCTATGGCATACCGCTCTGGCTGCTGCTCTCCTTTCAGTAGCTCGGAACGAATAACTACGCAAAAATGACCTTGAACACGCGCTGTCAATTTTTGTAAAGTATAGCAGATGTAGTGTTTGTACACAACTGCCGCAGAGCTTTGAGGATTCTGTCAAAGGCTTTTGGCCTGCCCAAAACCAGCCGCCCCTCCTTTCTCACGTACGTTGTGAGTGGTGACCAACCTGTTTGTGACGATCGTGACGATCGGCGCCGGTGCGCATTACGGGCAGGATGTTCACTTGTTAATTGTAGCAAACACGCGCACCACATCAGCAGATGCATGGTCGTATCAATTTCCGTCAAGTACGTACTTTGTTGTACAGACGTTATGAACCTGCCATAAAGAAATTCATGTAGAGAATTCTTAAGCATATTAGAAAAACTTAAAGATACTGAACATAAATTATCAGTGCTGCTTATGTGTATCCAGTTACCACGAATATTTGTTTTTGTACGATTTAGGGAAACGGTGCAGTAGATAGAAAATTTGGCTGATGATTATGTGCACTTGTATGTGGATAAATTGATAAGAGTATGATTATGTCAGCAAGTTTCCTAAACTGTAATATAAACACATATTCATGTTATAAAAGAATAATAGGCGTTATTTCTACAGCGCATTTAGTTTAGACTCACTCATACTTTCTACGCACTCATATTTTCTACAGCGCATTTAGTTTAGACTTGGGAGCTGTATCCCTGTATTTATTATGAGTACATTTTTTTAACTGTAAAGTAGTGTGCCCGCGCTTGCACTTTTGTTGTTATGGCGGCTATTGCCCAATAAACACAATTATGAGTACATTAGCAGTATGAGAAAATCAACCGTGTACATATCAATTGACGATGTACCGTAATCAAAACCGATCACAATAATTAATGAGCTGGCCGGTGCCGCTCCTTCTAGTCTGAAGGAGCGCCTTCAGCCATCCCTATTTGTCATGGTTGCGTTCTTCAGCCACACCCACGTAAGGTAGGGCTAATGTGGAGTCGAAAACAAACCGGATCTGGTTTTAATTTTAATGGGTTTGTTGTAAAGAACATACGGCCATTTTTCTCGAATACAGATCTAGAAGTAGATACATATTCATGCCATATCGCATGCCTGCAATGCATGGTGACGGCGCCATACTGTAAATTTCTGTACATACAATAATGCGCAAGATGTTCTGGTACAAGTACATTGCGCAGTGTTCGCGGTGGGTCGAATTTTAGCGTATATTAATTACTACTGTTACTGTACTTATACGAGCAGTCGGAAAGAGTTTTTACTAAGCGCAGCATCCACTGATAATTTCATGACAGCCGTGCCCAAACCAGACCGGCATCGAAAACACGATCATAGTACTCATACAAAATGAAATTAAGACACAATTATGCAGCGGCATAATAAAAACAATGCAGCGGCGTAATAAAAATATTATAATACTATTATAGTTATTGTTAAATAAAACTATTACATCCGGCTTTGTTCTCCGCTTACCGAACAAACATACACCACCCTCCTTAATCCGGTAACATCAGCAGTAACACGGGAGCACAAACATGGCTTGCAAGTGTGCCGTCCTTAAAAAATTATGCCAGTCGGCTGTCGATGCCGATGAGCGCGGCACGTCGAGATAAATATTACGACCTTTCATACGACTTTAGAACTACTGAAATTAACCCTAGTTTAGACCGGAAAAATGATGCCGGGCTCATAATTATGTCTTTCACTTTTGGACTGGCAGGAAGCTAAGCTGTCATGGGTACCGGCAAAATGTTCCCGTAATCGTTGCTCGGTGTCCCTTTTCCCACCGCGATTTCTGATCTGATTGGATGTCAGCTTATCAAGACAATCCTAATATAAATCTCATGCGGTTAATGCGGTTTCAGGGAAACAACTGCAAATCTCTACTATAAACTGCTCATGCTCTTTCTTGGGAAAACTTTCCAGGCTTGGCGTAATTATATGTAACTTCATCGCCTAAGACTGTAAGTGACTGTTCCGACATCACGGGCGCAGGCGCAGCAGCCTGACAGGTACGTGGAATGTTGCTACAAAGTGCATTATTCATAGAATTGTAGTATGGTATAGTACAACTTGCAGCGCAGGTAATCCGAAGCAGCGGCGTGGGTGGGGAAAGACGGATATCAGTAATCCCGTTAGATTAAAGCACGGAACTGGCGTGTTGGATGCTGTGACCCAGCCCTGCAGGAATTCAGTGCGCTGATCATCCGTGCTATCACTGCTATGTTCATTATATAAGTCATAGTTTTACCGGATTTAATCCACTACTTAATCCGGATGGTCATGGCACCGTAATTCTGCAGGGCTGGGTCACAGCACCCAAAGCCCTTCGTGAGCTACGACGTATAGCCAACTTCTTTTATGTTTTATAACGAATCAAACATCTAAATTTTATATTTTCGTATCTAAGTTTTTTCTGTATCTAAGTTTCAGTTAATTATCTGAGTTAAAGTCTAATTATTTTTACCCTGTAATAAGACATCCAAACGCGGACTGGATTGGTAGAATTTAGTAATAAAAATACTAATCATCTGCTTAGAGCTAGCGTGATTTATGTATAAGGAAACAGTAATTATATTAGAGCAACATCCTAACAAGTACGGGTTGCGATGGCGCGCTCCTATATCTGTAATTATATTTTCGTTAAGTTTGATTTTATTTTTTCGCTTGTATGTCTAGGTATGAAAAATTATAAAAAAATCTTCATAATTTCTTTTCAATTTAGCCATCTACCTCAAATGGATCCGTAGTCATTTACCGAACAAATACGCAATCCGAATCCGGGATACAAGACGGAAAAGGCTTTTTCTCTGCGGTCTTCCGACAATCTGCAAGAAAAACCGTTTTTGATGCCTGATTTGCACCTTCACTTACACGCTAATTAAGCGATATCATGCTCTACTGTACTTGGCTGTTTCATCGTTGCTTTTCTTCACCTTTTGCCAATGGTTTGGACTGTCAGCGCAGTTTCTGGAATAGGTAGATAGTTATAGCGTATTAACTGTTAGAAAAATTATCGCCATACGCGAAAAGTGCCAGGAAAACGCCAGCGGGATTTCAGAAAGAACGATTAGGCAATGATGCAGATCAAGCTATCGTTGCGATTTTCGCCGTCGACCGGTCTCGTAACAGCACATTCAAAGGCAGCACTGCACCGGCGACTGCACATTCCTGCATCAGAACTAAAACACGTACAACAGACGTGGTATGACAACGCACCGCCCCGGAATCACCGTTCAAACTATCCGGTCACCCGTTGCCCGTTTTGCACTAGAACTAGCGTTGTACAACTACGGAATACGCCACAGTTATGATACGGTAATTAATGTATTTGCCTGGGAATCAGTGTTTTTTCGGTAATACGTAATTGAAACGCACCAGCAGATTACAAGAAAACGTCCACAGGAAATAATTATGAACATCATAACGCTAGTGACTTTTATCGCATAATAAAAACAGTTACAAAAAACCATAAATATTCAAGTAACTAACTAAAATTAAACGAGAAATAAGTAATCAGAAGAACGTACATATTCTGCACTCGGCAATCGCCAGTTATTTGTTGTATGATTTGTATAATTTTTATAAAGTTTTCAATTTCTTTAATTATCAAACTCAAGCGCCTAATCGTAGCACGTTGTTAGGTTAAATTTCACGGTTAATGTGCCGTTGTAGGTAAGAAGCGATCTGGAATCGCTGCAGCAGGTTGGCTGGCGCATTATAGCGTTGAACTGTAAACCAGTCACTTTCCTCGTTGCGCCAGCCGTGAGTATAATAATTATTTAATCGGAATGTTTATACGAGCAACTAAAGCGGTATGGTGTAACGGTTATACAAAGGAAGCATGGAATCAACAAGCATTCTGTAAGGCGCCAGCTGCTGGCGGTAAAAACAAAATACAGCAATAACGCAGTCCCTGGGGAGACCACAATTTTCATGTGCTATTTACATCAGCTATGCAAGAGGAATTAACACTGGCACACGCTTTCAGCATATTATATACACGCATAAATTGTACACTATGCTGCGGTGGCTTAATATTGACCCGGCTGTCAACGGCTACTGCAGCGGCTGCGCGAAATCAACGTATGCTTTTTGCATAAACCACTCGCGCTGGCGGACTTCAGTGCGCAGCCAGCAGTCGATCCTTGCCTTCCGGGGTGCGGACTCCTCCTTCAAGATGATGGTCAGCGTGCTGGCGCAGAGGGGATCAGCCGCTCCTTGTGCCGACACGTTGAAGGTCACGGAGCCGTTGAGAAGACCGGAAATGTCCCAGTCGAGCAACAAAGGAAAGGGCGCCGCCACGAAATGTCCGTCGAACTTCCAGATGAAGAGCGACACCGGCGCCGTCCGGCTGCAGTCGATGCGGCCGCTGCACGTCATGGAGAAACTTCCGTTCAGCGCGGACACGCTGCGCATCGGCGGGATGAAGACGTCCTCGGCGCGCAGCTTGGGCAGCTCGGGCTGCAGGTGGTAGGTGCGCAGGAGGCAAAGGTCACCGCCGCCATGACAGGGGCGGAAACACTCCACCGGGCCGCCCGATTCGCGCTGGACGTTGTGGATCATGAGGAGGCTGTTGTTGAAGGCGGCGGCTTGCCCGTAGTGGTGACCTATGGGGGAATGCGGCAGGACCTTGCCGTGGATGGTGGCGTTTTGGTGGCGCCAGACAATCTGCTGTGCCGCTGCAGGCGAGGCCGCCTCGCAGAAAAACGTCTCCCAGCCTCCCAACGGGACACTGACGGTATCCGGCACCGGCGGAAGCGTCGGCTCGGCATCCTCCAGGGCCGACAGATTGATGACGCGGTCAGTTTGGTAGTCTTCGGCCGTCTCCGCCGCCTCGACTGCTCGCCAACGCAGTACTGCAACGCGAAGACACCGGTATTGTATAGTGCGTGGTAATCAGTATCGTTAAGGGCTTACCCGGGTTCGGACCGCCGAAAGGACACCCGTCCACTCCACGGACCGCTACCGCTCCACGGACCAGCACTAGCATTGCCAGCAAGAGAAGGATGTAGCGCACGCTGTGCGTCATCGTTCGGCGGACTGGTGTGCAGTTGCTGCCATCGGACAGGAGCGCCGTCCTTGGACCAGATAAATCGGCTGCCATTTCGTCCTGCGAGTATAAAACTCCGGCTCTCAAACTCAGCGACAATGCAAAACAGAAAACGTATCTGTTTCTACCGTTAACGAAAGGCATTAAAGGTATTACTGTATGAGTATAATATACATATATAAGTTAACGTATTATAATTGCATATACGCATTGTTATACGAGCAATATGATGCGTTCCGCTCTGTCAATCACTTAGCCAATGCGATGGCACACTAATGTCTACAGAAAAATATGTGTTTTCTTAGGTATTGGCGTACGCAATAATCCGGAAACAAATTTCGACGGCGTTCGCCGAGAACCCAGTTGGGTCTTGGAATGTCGCTTGCTGTGGTCAGCGGAGCTGATTAATTCAAGAGAAACAGCCTTATATCTTACCATTAATGTCCTCATGAATGTTGTTTTTCCCAAAAACTTGGCAAAAATCCAAATTCCAAACAAACGCAGTCCAAAGGCAAATATAGCAAGATATTTTATTATATGGATAAAGTATCTCGAAATCTCTAAATTACGAAGATCCACGAGTTCTTGCAGAAACGGGTCAGCAGACATGTCATGTCATGGTCAAACATGCCTGGGTGGTAATTTAATCATTATTTATTTCTGAAACAGCTGAGAGGCGGCACCATGCAGTCAGCATTCAAGGCGGCTGGCAATGCGGTCCTGTGGACAGCTATTCACTGTAGGCACACGCCGTGGAAATCTTTTCGAATAGCAAAGAATAGGTTACGAATGGAAAACAGCAGACCAGATAAATTCACAACGGAGCAAGGATTTTTTCCCTGATATTCTCTACTATTCCCGGCTATTTCCGGCTATTCTCGGCTATTTCCGGCTATTCTCGGCAGTTCTCCGCTATTCTCGGCTATTCCCGGCTATTTCCGGCTATTCTCGGCAGTTCTCCGCTATTCTCGGCTATTCCCGGCTATTTCCGGCTATTCTCGGCAGTTCTCCGCTATTCTCGGCTATTCCCGGCTATTTCCGGCTATTCTCGGCAGTTCTCCGCTTTTCCCGGCTATTCGCAGCTGTTTTCGGCTATTCTCGGCTATTTTCTGCTATTTCCGGCTATTCTCGGCTATTTCCGGCTGCCATTCCCAGCAGAGACTAGCCGGAAATAGCCAAGAATAGCCGAGAATAGCGGAGAATAGCCGAGAACAGCAGAGAATAGCCGAAAACAGCAGAGAATAGCCGGGAATAGCCGTGGATAGCCGGGAATAACTGAGAATAGCCAGGAATAACTGAAAACCGCCTTGGACAGCAAGGAACTGCTGTAATAGAGTGTAACGTATTCTTCGCTAATCCAAACTTTTTTCACGACGTGTGCCTACTAGTGTTGCCGGAAGTGCTCCAAATTGCATGTGAAAGAATTTCGATACCAATTCCGAATAATCGGAATTCAAATTCAGGTATTTCCAATTCCGAGCAATCTAAATATTTTTTATTAGATTTCCAAATACAGTACTCGAAATTTAAAAGACCGTAATTTGAATTCCGATTACTCGGAATTCGCACTGCCACATTTTGAATTCCGAGTAATCGGAATTCAAAATGTGGCAATGCGAATTCCGAATATTCGAAATTTAAACTACGGTAAAATAAAATCCAAATATTCAGAATTGAACGGGACTTTTCTGAATTTCGATTTCTTTGAAATTTATTTAACACTAACAGAATAGAGCAGAATCTTGAGATTCTTACAGTAGATGTACAAGTATTTTACTGTATACGTCTAACTGAGGGCGGTGTAAAAGGGAAACCGTTATGTGCACACCTCGCGACCAGGTTTGGTAATTATTATAGCCACATAGGCACCCCTTTTCACCCTGTTTATTACTTACAGGCTCAGTATAGACAAGTTTTAAGAATACATTGATATACGAGTTTTGCATTATGCGAACTGTTGAAATCCGTTATATCTGTACTATAATTTTACTGACTACATTCACATCTAAAGTCAAGTAAAGCTTAAATATCATCCCGCATTCGTTTCTGGTTGGTACCCCCGGCCGGCAGTTCTTATGAGGTCCTGGGTATATACAGCCCTGGGCAGTCACTGGGGTGCAGTTTTAGAAAATAAAACAAAAAATAAATTACAATTATTTCCATATACGGTTTTGCTTTTATTGCTGCACTTTTTTAGAACTATTCTTTAGTACTCGTACTATAACTTTTTCTCCCAAATCCAGGTCTATTAAAACGAAAACTTTTCGCACGCCTGTAAAGAGCTAAGGGGGCAATTAAATGGTGTGTTAGTGGTCATTTTTAGGAGGCTTATATATATAGGAGGCATGCACTTTCCATAAATTCATCAGTCAATACTTTTTTGCGGACTTGGCAACCGTTAAATGAGCAAGAAGGTGTTTGTTACGACTTACGAGTAAGCAGACTAGCTAAGCAGAACATATTTGCGCGATCAGGGGTAGAGATCAGTGGCACTGGTAACTCGAACCTCGCACAAAATCTAGAATTAATGAAGTGGGTCTGTCATGAGGGACCAGTGTGTGTCATTGGGATGTACATCCTGATGTATAAATAGGAGAAGCAATGCGGATGTGGTACAGCGATAGTGCATTTGTGTTTAATGTATTTAAGTTGCTGTTGTATCAGGTAAAGGTCATAATTCAATGTAACAAGTCGTTCTTCCCTACCGCACACACCCTTCTGTGAGGAGGGGAGACTCGGAATTTATGAAGAACAACGGCGCCAGTTACTCCGATGCCCTGTGTTCCGGTGCTAGTGTCATCACCCAATGCCCAAATAAAAGCTGGCCAAATCATTACACGTCGGCGCTGTAGTAGCCGCACCGGCCCGCAGGCAGCCGTAGACTGCGCTAACGCTGACCGATGAGTTTTGAGCCAACAACGCTGGATGAGCATGGATCAGTTCATTTGCGACGGTGAAAGCCAGAATAATGTCAATTTAAACGGAAACCTGTTTTTTGTTGTTATTTTTGCTATAGAAAGTTTATTGTACGCCGAACTGATAAAGGTACATCAACGTTTAATGACCACGCCCTAAAATTTTCCGAGCGCTCGAAATTAAATTCTGCTGTCATTTAATTAATAAAATTATTTCGGTCATAAATACGTAATCAGTATTACTACTTCTATGTAAGGTATCGCATCAAAACTTCCAGTTCCATAGTACGTAGTTTGATGATAAATTATAATCAAAATATTAAGTAAAATTTTTTTTAACAACGGATTACTTAAAATTCATATGATATGCATTGCAATTCCGAATATTCGAAATTACAACTGCGTCCTTTTAAATTGCGATTACTCGGAGTTGGAATGCCTGCAATTGCAATTCCGGTTACTCGGAATTCAAACGGTAGTGTATTTGAATTTCGAATACTCGAAATTCATTTTAGATTGGAGCACTTCCGGCAACATTAGTGCCTACTCTCCAGCTATTTATTACTTATGGAAATTTCCCGCCAACAAATTTTTCTAATGAATCTTCTCTTTCTCCCCGTTCACACTTTGAAAAGGAGTAACCCGTCTCGTTTCGGCGCTCCTTCCTCGTACAGCGCAAATCCTGAAAGAAACGGCTCAATCCTTGGTGATTCTCCAGACAATCAAAACCGTTCGTGACCCGACGTCTAAACGTGCAACTTATCAGTTTCCAGAGGGCAAAACAAACTACGAACAATTCCTTATAAAACATGTATACTGTATACATGTATGTGTTATATATACATAGTCGCCAGCGGCGGCAGCGAGGTGAATCACTAACTGAAAAGTAGTTTGTGATGCGCGAGCATGACTGTAGGAGATTTGAGACATTAAAGTCAGAGAGAAGTCACCATGCGTTAGAAGATCGCAGAGCTTTGCACACTAATTCTGCATATCGCTGTTCGCTCATTACCCATGTTAAGAAGATTATAACAACTTCAAAATAATATAATACGATAAGCGGTTGCTAGGATATTTCCAAAACCTGACGGGTTAAGAATTACAACAAACAAAATAGTATTGCAAGATCAAACTGCCGGTAAAATGAACGGGTTTCTTGGGTCGGCCAAGTTTAGCTTTGCCGGCCGTTTGCGTTTGCGTTCAACTTCTGACGTTTAAACGCTAGCAGAAAGCAGTTGCTGGAATTAAAAGTATGGGTGGTCGTCGACACCGCCGGTACGAAGATCATTGTCCGAAGTCACTCCGAACAGGGTTGTCACCAACAAGCTGGCAACAACCGAACGAACAGGCAGCAACAGGAAGCTAGTCCGGTAATTTCTGTCGTAAAGGTACAGCTAGCGCGAAATTTGCGCTTAAAACAATGGCCACGTCACTGCGCTTATCGGATTGCCTAAATGCGCTCCGCAGTTAGATTGTTCATTACTACACCGATCGTTTTTTAGCCACCTTTCGCCGGGCAGTTACTGTTATGCTCGTTAAACGATCTGTCATGTACCAAGCCACCAGCCAGCCAGATGCATGTTACGTATTTAAACACTGAGGCGTGGCGCCGTAGCATGGAGTTTGGCGTAACACGCAAATTTGTGTATTTCGCTGTATCGAACAGGCAGAAATTACCGGACAAGCTTGTTCACCTGGAGATTACAATTACATACGCGGACAGTTTAACCGGCGCGCCCCATAGACTGTAATATAACTCTGGATAATGCCTGGATAACACGTACGATTTTGCTTTAACCGAAGGTTATTTATTTACCAGGTTTCACTGTAGTAGGCTATCTGTACTTGCATTTGACTGTTGTTCTCGTGGAGTGACGATCAGTCTTTACCACGATTATGCCGCGGCTATGTACTGATTCTAAGGTTGCTACTTACTACGGCCGTTGGCGCAACGGTCGAACGTAGGTCAGTGGAATCGGGGATCACTCTCCCCGATTCCACTGACCTACGTTCGTTATCGCTTCCATCTATTGCGCCGGTGTCCGGGATGGTCCGGCCGTTGGCATACGTTTCGCCATGTCGGCGTTGGCGAACTGCTCCTGTCCGTATTGCGGATAATTGCAGCCGGAATGTTGTGTGAAGCATAACGAAGCCGCGGATATTAATTTGGGTGATGAACTCAAGCGTCTGTGTAGTATCATTAGAGGCACGAGTGCGTAGCCACGAACAGAAAACGCTGTCATCATGCACGGATGGGATGTATAGTGATTGTATACAGCGTGTCTAGAAATCTACAACGGTGTCTACAGATGTCTACTGCTGTATACACGCAGCCCTTCTTAGGTTCAGCTCGAGGCTCTATACAACGGTAGTCAAGTCAAATACCAAACGGCAGAAAATAATTTTTCACGATTTCTGATACCAAAAACGTTGTGGTTTGTAGCGATTGAAAAAAGTTACTGCCATTTTAGTTTTCTCGTAGACTTAGCATACAATTCACGATCAAGGTTCCCACACGGCGATTCTATGCTATGTCTACGAGAAACTTCAAAGTGCTATAACTTGTCTCTCACGCTATAAACTGCAACTTGTTTGGTGTCAAAAATTGTGAAAGTTTATTTTCTGCCGTTTGGTATTTGACTTGAACGGTTTCATTCTCAAATTCAAGAATGGCAGGCATCTGAAGTTAGCATACCAGTGTATGGGGAAAATCTGTTTAAATCCGTGGACGCGACCAATTTCGTAACATTACGGGCTGGTTTGCCAGCCGCCCAGGATGGCATACACGGTTGAGGCAATCGACTGCCGTTAATTCGCTACCGACTCAACAGCAATCCTCCTCGTATGCATATCTTCGAAACTCTTGCGAGTATAGTCGATTTTTTTGGAAAGTGTTAACAGTGCTGGGCCACTGATCATGTGCGAAGTGCGTAAGTGTGCGACGACATATGAAATTTGAAAAGGTCAACTTTGCATCTTTGATGTTCGCGGAAAGCACCGTAATAAAAAGAATGAAAAGCCGCATTAAAATACAATCGCGGCACATCGTTAAGGCACTGGAAAGAAAGCATATTAACGTGGCGCGTTATTCCGCTACTCAAAGCGGTATGGTATTAAGTACTGCCCCAGCACGATAGCGATGCGGCAAACACGCCTTTTAGACAGGCTGTAATCGATACCTGGATTTAACACTGTAGAAGAAACTAAAAAACCATGTCTACATGTCGTAAAAAGTTTAAATGCACGATGTTTACAGGTGCCGCTGTGACAATTGCAGCAGCAAAAATCGATTTGTTTTTTGACTTCAAAGTGCGCAACGTAGAGTGCCACTGGCAGACTATATAATGCTGTTAAAATGTTTATTAGTTTGGTGTTCGGTAGCAAGGGGTGTTCGTGATGTTTGGTGTTTACTGTTACTCTCAGACTACGAGTGTACATGCGAAGATGCGATTAAAGCATCCACCTCTCGCCGCTAATCCCAGAACGCTTCAAAGATTATTATTATCGTTTTGGTGTACGTGTTATATCCTTTTTACGTCTAATATAATATTTAAAAATTTTTGCTGTGTTCTCACGCTAGAAAGTAAATGTAACCTAGAACTCTTACTACCAGCATGAAGTACGCATCAGCTACCAGTATGAATGCTTGCAACCCAAAAATATTTCTAACAAAAATATAAGTAGCGGGTAGTTGTTAAGTGTTAACGACAGCATATCGTTTAGTGTTATGCAGCGTGCAACTAAAATCTTTATTACCACCCAAGAATGTCCTAGCTAACTTACAGTAATTGATACTCTGTATGCGAATATTATGCGGAGGTTGCTTGTCCGCTACCCAGTGAATATGAAAATGCGTGTATACCTGGCGCCGGTTTTTTAAAACACTCAACAGCAAAGTTCACGTGCACATATGCGTTTATATTGCGTTACTTGCGTAAACAAAAAAAAACAGCCTGGTTTGTTCAGCCTTATTAAACGCTTTAAAGTAAAAAACTACCAACTAACAATAACAATTAAGGGGAAAAGAGGTGGAACGACAAGCTAAGGTACTTATAACTTACCCAAATACTGTAGATCTTATATTTCCTATCCAGTTTAAAGGAGCCCATAATAATTTTATCAATGTGACAGTAACGGCAGGGGCCGGCAGTGTTAGACATTCTAAAGTAGCACCAGAATCAGAAGCAGTCCCTTCAATGCAACTGACACAAGCATTGAAGCAGTACGATAAGGCGACGTGTGCTACTCATGTACACCTCGGGTTCATCTGCTTGTGTCCCATGGCTTATGTTCGCCGTTTTGTCCAACGACAACATAATCAGTTAGCAAAACAAGAAGATAAGGCTGGTTGTTTGTGGAGCTTCCCAGTGTATGTGTATGTGAAAGTGCGTGTATACATGGCGCCGGTTTTTCTGAGATATTTAATTAAACAGCAAAGTTTACATGCACATATGGGGAACACTGCATACCGTTTAGGCATTTACCATGCACCTTACTGGGTCTGACTCTGGTCTGCACTGCAGGCCCTGCACTCTGCAGTGTGTACTGCAGTCAAAACAAAAACGCGGCTGTACTCAATTACCTGTCTTTTTCTTGGCTGATCTCCTAATGTTTACAAGCGACTATAGCACTATAAGAGGCTCTTTTCCGGTCCGAAACTGTTTGTCGTCCATAGCAGTAATGATAAGCCGTGGGGTGTCTACTTGTAGTTAGCATTACAATGACGCTTCCTTATGAATATTTCAGTTATGTACAGCACCAGTACCATTATCATTAATTACCTATTTTACGGGGTAATATTATTGTTTGGATTTGTAAACACGTAGTACTGGTTTCGCTATAAGCGATTGATATGAAACAAGAGAAACGAGCGGCCAGTTATCCACAGAGAACATATTTGATTAAGACTAGCCGAAACAGGTAAATATAGTATACAGTGCAAAAATTGAAAAATCGTATCACTAGCGCCATTTTGAGTATAATAAATACCCCTCTCTAGTACTGATCTTAGTGTACGATGTCATACAACATGTACTGTTTATTCCTTTCTCGATTAGTCTAAGCTCTACAGCATAGTGGCAAGGGTACAATTAAGATTTCTATACGTCTGCGTGTGTGCAGTTTTGCATATTGTAGTGCTCTGCTGAAGTGTGGCTACCCAAAAGGTGCTCTGTGTTTTTAGACCTCCTTGTTTACTGACTGGGTACACTGCACTGTGATGTTAATGGTTTTTCTATAAGGAAAAGAATAACGAAAAAGGTTGCTAAAGTAGTATAGAAGTATTGAAAATCAATAAAACTGTTGTGAACTTTTATATTAACGACGTTTTCCAAACAGTCCTGCCAGGTTTGTTTCGGGTTTAACAGAAGTCCTAATTACTTCATGGCTGGCATTACCTTACGGTAACGATAATAACAAGCTAAGCCACCAAAGGGGTGTGCGGAGAAACTTATATACGAGCCTACGATGTTAACGTTGAAAGTGACGCTTGTCGTCTGCTGCACTTAGTTAACCGAATGACACACCATGCTCAACCGCAAGACATATTGCAGCGGTGTAAATCGTAAATCTGGAAGTGCATATTTTGATATGCACCTGGTCATCGTTTGGTTGATGTATTTAAAGTACTTTGCGCAAACGGCGGAATACAATGTGACCATTCGAAATTTTATATGCCGTAACTTACTTACAAACTTTGTGCATGGCCAGTACTGTTAACACTTTAAAGGAAATATGGAATATGTATTCGCAAGAGCTTCAAGTAGTACATACAGTTCACGAAACTTTCGGAACCCGTTTGTACGCGGTGCCACATTGTATGCGGCATCTGCCAGGTTTTATCTGGTGCCAGTTGACAGAATTTCCGGGTTTTATCACATGCCATGCCATTGGCAGTGCCACTGGCAGGTCCGACGACCACGTTTTACCCCCTGCACCCTCCGGTCGATTAGTAAAATGTGCGCACTGGCCACGATGACTACCCGTGCTGGCGGCAGGCGACACTCCCAGTGAGCAGGGGCGGTATTGGCATTCGTCGAGCGGAGGAATTAGCACTTCCAGCCTTTTTGGCTTCGATTCATTCCTTATCCGACTTAGTGTCACTACTGATCCCTGGTTAACCTGCTGCAGATGTTACAAGCGCCCTGGAATTGTGGAAGATAAAAGCGCGTCTCTCAGATCTTCCCGAACCAGCTTTTCGCAAAGCACAACGGACATGGGACCTCGCGCTATGTAACGTGTCTTTATCAGTTCTGCTGGACATTTTTCGCGACGATAAGGTCAACCGTGCTCGCTTAATGGCTCAATCAACACCGGAAGCAGGCCTTTGGTTAAATGCCTTGCCCTCTGCACACATCGGTAACCTCCTTGACGACGACACAGTAAAGATTTCAGTCGGTCTGAGACTGGGCGTAAAGATATGCGAGCCGCATTCATGTGCGAAGTGTCACAAGTCCGTAGATGAGTATGGACACCACGGCTTATCCTGCACTTTTTCCGCTGGAAGTCACGCACGCCACGGCGGTTTGAATAGTATTGTGTGTAGATCGTTAGTGTCAGCCGGCATCCCGGCTAAGCTGGAACCCCGGGGTACATCCCACACGTCCGATCGTCGTCCAGATGGGTGCACAACCTTTGCCTGGAAGCGTGGTATGTGCCTGGCATGGGACGCGACCTGCGTGGATACTGTTGCGATGTCTTACCTGCAATCCACGTCAGTTACCGCAGGAGCTGCTGCTGTGGAGGCCGAAGATAAAAAATTACGACTGTACTCGTATTTGGAGGGTAGATATGTCTTCTCTCCACTAGGTTTCGAAACTCTTGGGCCATGGGGGAAGCTAGCCATACTCTTAGTAAAAGAAATCGGGAAACGACTTCAACTACACACAGGTAAACCTCGCTCCCATGAATTTCTCCGCCAAAGGTTGTCACTAGAAATTCAGCGGGGCAACGCCGCTTCAGTACTTGGAACAGTGGATGGAGCGGCAACTTTAAATGCAATTTTGTTGTTGTGATTACTCTTTCTTTTCAATCTGTAATGTATACGCGTTTATGAAATAAATACAGATTAGTAAATTTAGTTCATGTAATTGACGCCAGCAACGCCGGCAGTATAAGTAAATAATTGGGGAAATGCGAGCGATGACTGCGGTAGCGATAAGCCGGTAGCCGTGAATCATGACAGCGTTATCTGTTCATGGCTAAGCAGTCTTATCGCCGATGGGCCACTTACACACGCGGGAACACCTGTTCAGCACGCTAATTAATATCGTTATACTGCATGCAACATTCAGGCTGCAAATATGCGCAATGCAAACAAACCGACTAACACAGTCCTGCACACACACGCTCCACTTTCCTGCTGCGTTCCTCGGTCTGTGCCGTTCCATTTTAAGCTGTCTGCAAAGAAGACGAAGATGATGCTGCCGAACTGGCCGTATCGTTTAACTGTGTTATGGATTATTTTTTATAGCCATTACTGCTTAGCGCAAGGTTCGTTTACGCATCGGAGTAAATGGAGAATTTTATGAATTAACGCTGATCGACGTTACAGCGCCAGCCAGCTCGAATCTCTGCACGCCGTACGAATCCTGTGGAGCGTGCATCCAGGCGCATCCCGGCTGTGCCTGGTGCGAGCAGGAAGTAAATATCGTTCGCTCCTTTCCTCAAGCGTTCTCCCGTGAAACCGCCGTTGATTTGTTTAATTACCTGAATTTAGGATTTTACACCGTACGTCAGTCGCTGTGATCTGCCGTCCGTGCTCCTGGAGAAAAAGTGTTCCAACGCAAAGATCGTCGAGCCGCAGAATGTCCAGGATCGTTACGTCGTAAGCCAGACTCCACGGAATCGTTAGTAATACAAACGTTTCACCGTTTTTACATAGGATAATCCGCCGAGCGAAGAGATCCAGATCGCGCCCCAAAAAGTGTCAATGAAGATGCGCCCACGTACGCTTAATTAGCCTAATCTATAAGAGGAAAGCGTAACGGATCTTGCTTTTATATAGGCAGCACGATGAGTTTGACGGTGAAGTTCCGGCAGACCCGCCGACCGGTAGATCTCTACTATCTGATGGATCTCTCCTATTCCATGTTGGACGATAAGGTTAAGATCGCCTCGCTCGGACGGACCCTCGGTGAGGCGTCGCTTGTGTCTCCTTTGAGACCTTTGTGCTTTAAGATGTGTGGGTGGTGTCGGTGCAGCGGAGGAGATGAACAACCTGACCACCAACTTCCGGCTGGGCTTCGGCTCCTTCGTCGACAAGACGCTCATGCCCTACATCAGCATCGTTCCCAAAAAGTAAGCAACGTCGAAAAGCGTAACGACACTGCTGGTTAAATGAACGTGGGGCTGAATTGCAGGGTGGTGGAGCCGTGTCCGTCGTGCGCGGCGCCGTACGGGTACATCCATCATATGACGCTCAGCGAGGAAGCGCACGAGTTTGAGGTACGGACTCTAGCTTCCACTTGGCGATGAAACGGTTTACATTTGTGTGTGGTGTACTAGACCAGGGTCAATGACGCGCAAATCTCCGGAAATTTGGACGCACCGGAGGGCGGTTTTGACGCCATGATGCAGGCCATCGTCTGCAAGGTAATTACGACTATCTTGTACAATACTTTTGTGCGTTACGGGTAGCGTTGTTGTAGAAAGAAGTAGGATGGAGAGACAACTCCCGACGCCTGCTCGTGCTGTCCACGGACGCGGCCTTCCATTCCGCCGGTGACGGAAAGGTCAGTTGTATTACGCATGAAATCGGTCGGGTCTTGTCCAGTCCGGCCCAGCCCGTTCCGGGTTCGGCTTTGACAAGTTTCCGGTCCGGCTCGTATTCGCTGAGCTTTGTCCAGCTCAGGCTGATCCAATGTTTGTGCATTACCTTTTTTATTTGTGCATAACCTTTTTTTTATCGTTTTTTCCTTTTTTATCCTCGTTTATATGTATAGTTGGGCGGCGTGGTGAACCGAAATGACGAACTCTGCCATTTAGTACCGAAAGCCAACGGCGAACTGCAGTACTCCGAGAGCACCGTCCAGGCAAGGTTTTTTGGAGTTTAATTAGCAGCGACGATCGGTAACGGTTGTACTTGTCAGGATTATCCGTCGGTAAGTCAGTTAGCCAAGGTGGCCGCCGAGAACGACATCAACTTGATCTTCGCCGTCACCGAAGCCGAACACGAGGACTACGAGCGGCTGTGCGCGCTGATTAAAGGCTGCGTCACCGGTCAGCTGGCCACGGATTCCTCCAACGTGGTCGAACTGATCAAAGACCAGTACAACGTAGGTTGCTGCACACTGTACAATCAATGGATCACAATTTATTTATTCGACAGAAAATCACGGAATCCGTGCAGCTGGAGGACAACGCCCCGTCCGAGTTCGTCAAGCTGACCTACTACTCGTCCTGCATGAAAGCGGCCGGTGCGCCGCGCGACAAGACCAAGGAATGCAAAGGTCTTCGCATCGGCTCCGAGGTAATTAAGCTACCGTGCTTCTTCGACCTACAATTCGAACAATCCATGACCTTTAAAACAGGTCGAATGGCGCGTCGATATCGAGATTGTGGGCGTACCCAAAGGGCCCGGCCCGCACCGCTTTCCCTTCCGAATCTCGCCGGTAGCCTCCAACGAGGAGACCTTCGTGGAGCTGGAGATTATTGCCACCTGCAACTGCGACAAAGCAGAGATGCAGGTGACGCCGGAGAACGCGGCGCAGTGCAGTTTTAACGGCACGTACAGCTGCGGCGTGTGTAGCTGTATGCCGGGAACGTTTGGGCGCAGCTGCGAGTGCAACGCGGACACGGTGCCCGGCGACGACAAGAATATCGGCTGCCGAGCGTAAGTTTACTTCGTTGCTAATATTTATTTTTAATTTAGTTATTATTATTATTTTTTTATTTATTTAATTTTTATTAATTAAAAAATTATTTTATATGATAAAAAAATAATGTTTTTATAATTATAATACTTTTAAAAATAATTTTATTCGTTCTTTCTATTTTTGAAATTAAGTATCGGCTTACTATTTTTCTTACAGCGACAACACGAGTGCCGTGCTGTGTTCGGGACGCGGACAGTGCGTTTGCGGTGAGTGCCAATGCGACCCGATGCAGGTACGTACGGTCGCACAGCTGAAGGTCACTGTTATCTTATTTCCGGCTTCTTTAGTCGGTGAACGAAGTGATCAGCGGCAAACACTGCGAATGCGATAACTTCTCCTGCGACCGCCACCAGGGGGCAGTTTGCGGCGGTAAGCGGTGTCTCGGTGACCGTTCGACCCGGTTCTTACTGTACCTTGTCTTTAGGCCCGGATCATGGCACGTGCGAGTGCAAAACCTGCGTGTGTAAGGCCGGGTGGACGGGGCAGGCGTGCGAGTGTGAGGAGTCGACGGATGCCTGCCGCAGTCCCAACGGGGTAAACGTCTTCCATTATGGTAGAAAAAAAATAAAAAGAAAAAAATAAATAAAAATAAAAAAGTATAAAAATAACTGCAAAATATTTTTTGTAATATTTTATACTATAAAATTATTTTATTATTTCAAAATTATTTTTTAAAAATAGCAAAATTCAAAAAATAAAAAAATTAAAGGTCAGTATTAAGCATCATTCTTCACTAAAATTATAAAAAATTTATTTCGATTGTAGAAATTATGCAGCGGCCGCGGGCAGTGCGTATGCGGCCGGTGCGCCTGTGATTCGGAGGAATACTCCGGCGCGACGTGCGAGCTGTGTCCGACCTGTCCCAGCCCGTGCGACACCTTTCGGCCGTGTGCGCAGTGCCGAGGCTTTGAGACCGGGGAACTGGCAGACAGAAATCAGTGTGCCGCTAATTGTAGCGTTTACAACATCACGCTGGTGAAAGTGGCCGAAGGTGATTTTTTAACCTAATATTTGTTTAATCCAATCTGACTAATGTACTAGTAATTCAATAAATGAAGTAATTGAATAAGTCGATTGCAGCGGACTTGCCGGGGGAGACGGCGTGCTTGGGCCGCGACGCGAGCGACGACTGCACCTTTTATTTCTCTTACTACGGGACGGAGCCGACCAGCATCGAAGTGCAGCGCGATAAAGGTTCAGCGATATATAGACATTTATTCGGAAAATTTATTTAAGGGTTTTGGTTGATACACAGTGTGTCCTGCCCCGGTGCAAGCCATGCCCATCATTCTGGGCGTGGTCGTGGGCATCGTTCTAATTGGGCTGCTGCTGCTCTGTCTGTGGAAATGCATCGTCACCATCTACGACCGTCGGCAGTACAAGAAGTGGCGCGACGAGGTGGAGAGCTCCAAGTGGCAGTCGCGTGCCGAATGGAACTACGAAGTAGGCTGCAACGTTAACCGGCATCTCGCATTTTGTCCAGAATTCACAGTAATTCTGTCTTGGTAGAGCGAAAACCCGATATACCAGAAACCGGTGCAGACTTATAAAAATCCCATCTACGAGAAAGCCCCACCCGAAGGCTACCGTTGAGTCCATGGAACCGGGCGCCGAATTTTATCGATAGCAACACGATAACGTATTTTTTTTGTGCTTATTATTTTGCGCACGGCATATAATTTAGCTCCAGAATTTGAATGCCGGAATCTTTTTAAGGAGATGTAACAAATAACATGATGTTACAATATTAAATAACTGGTAAATTCACTGCATCGGTCTGCCGTACAGTGCGGTCGTGTGTACTCCACAAAAACTGTTAGGATGCACCGGCACATCCCAACTTCGCTCCTTCCGCAACTTGACCCCGTAACACGTCGCCAGAAACCGGCCGTCGTGACAAAACCGTGACAAAACTCCTCTTCGACCCGGCTAATCCGCCCGATCTGACCGGACCAGCCATCCGGGTGGGCGTGCATGCATGTTATTGGGGAAGTGGGCGCCGTCATATCGTCCACCAGCCAACCGTACAGACACCAACTGGCGCCGGCGTCCCGCGCTGTTTGCAACTGTGATTTCGTCGCGAGCACCGCGCCCACCGTGTGGCAAACATGCTCGGCTTGCGACTGGTTATACGCATGGTACTCACCCACCAGGAAGACCTCTTCTACAAAACCCAATACTTTAAAATAAAGATCCCGGTAGTGCGGCTGAATAAACAAGGTGACCTTTGTGTTCCACGGAACAGTTGTACGCTTCGTGGATATGAATTATATCCGTGTAGCTTAGATTTTAATTTTGTCCAATGGGAAAGGATCGTTTCGGGGTGATGGTCACGGTCAACGGGGTTTTCCCGAAGGCGGTGGAAGGGTAGTGCATAATGGAATGGTAATCGTAGGGCCACCCCAACGTGCTGGCGTTAACATACCCGTTCTGGAAGTTGTTTCGCACGGCCTCCGCTATAAGAGATTTAGGGAAACTGGATAAGTAATACAGGTGTAAAGTCGTACAGTCGATGAGATTGTCCATGCATGTGCACCGACATGTACGCGTCGCGGTCCGTCCAGGCGTGTTCGTGCAGGAAGCCCAGCGTGTGCATTAGTTCCTGGAGAGATTATTGCTAAGCATACCGTACCGCCTCCAGCGTGGTCATCGTGTCCACGCGCAGAATCCCGCCCTCCAACAGCGTCAACGAATAGCGCCCATTCTCCTCAATGTCTGCATTGTCACCTGCCGACAGCTTTTTTCCTACTTCCGAATGCTGATATTATTTTAGTTTGTGTACAAGAAGATATAATTAAACTATACCTTCCGTAATAGGCCGGCAGTCGCTGAAGGAATTCAGTCCCACAAGGATCAACTGAAAACATTTCGCCCAACGCGTATCATTTGCGAACTGCCGCTGTGTTCTGTGCATCATTTTTACCAGTCAAAAGCGCACGCGTTGCCGGTTGCCAATTAAATTAGCTAACTGCCAAATAAATTGTGCACGCTTATTGCCACCGATCTGACAGTAATCGACATGTGCCGGCTCTGTTACGATAATAATCAACAGCGTTAGTCACTGAGCAAATTTCCAAGTGGTAATTTGTGAGTCAAGCTGCCAGTTTTCCCGGTAAAACTGCCGTATACCGTCCACTGTACGTAATAATTTATTTATTTAATTGGTTTGGATTTTAGAAGTATTAGATAATTTCCTTTTCTATCTAATTACTCATATTAGCGCAGATTCTCTCAGAAAATTTCTTTTTTCAGAAAATATGTATAACTTAATTTATTCTTTGAATTTAATTTAATTTTTTTATTTTCCGTAAATAAGTTGTAGCAATTCGAAATAAAAGCTGCATAGATTTAAAGATAATCCGGAGCGTGTGGGGTTAACAAGCCGGGTACATTTGCAGTTTAATGCGTTGTGACGTGCATGTGCCGGTGTGGACGCGGGAATGTGTGGTCATCCGGCAGATGCTGTGTTCTAACTATAATTACCCGCGCAGCAAGAGGAATGATTGAGTAGCGTGTTGCTTCCGTGTACATACATCCCAACCGCGCACCGTCGACGTCGGCGTTGAGGGTCAGCTGGCGCGAGCGGTTATTCACGCCGCTGTCGACGTCAAGGAAACCCTACCCGTCTCCCACACACCGAATACAACATACACCGGCTCCCGTGATCCAACCTTTCCGGAAAGCCGGTGCCGCTGTTTTCCTGTTAAGCTGATTAATGTTGACCGGAAAACATAGCAGCGCTTGAAAATAATTAGCAAAGTGATTGTTTTTCACCGGGTGCTTTTCTTCCTAAGTAATCAGTTAATTCGCTGTGTTGTTGAAAATACAAGCAGTAATATAAACGGAGTGCAGATATGAGCCAGCATTGAGTTATGTATTTAGATCGGTGTATATATGCAGTATGCGCACTTAACCGGATTGGTGGCATTCGCTGGAATAAGCAGCATCCATGTCTATTTTTGTCGCGGCCACGTATCATTTGCCGTGGACACGCGCAGCCGACAGATACAGCGCGATTCATAGCCGCATGACGCGCTGCGGCGCGGGATGAGTCAAACGGCCGGGTAAAAATAGCCGCGGCTCGGCAAAGCAGCTTAGTTTAACTGAAGATGCGGCGTGCGTACGTTGTCGTTCGGCTGAGGAGAAAATCAGTCGTCCGCGTTCGAACGCTGATGTTGGGTAGCAAATTAGTCGGATATGAACGTTGTAGAGCGATCTAGATAAACACTGCGCTCCTTCATTTGCTCAATTAGGCAATCACAGCACTGCTCCATTTCGTCCTCTGCGCTGTCTACTTCCATCGCCCAAAAATGTCCTAACACTGAAATAATCTCTCAAGTGTTGTTTTTTTATTATTTAATCTGATTGTTATGGTGTTTGGGGTGTGGTGTTGTTAATCAGCGGCAGGATGGCGCGCCGCATCGAGCCTTACGACGAGGAGAACGACGAGATCGCCCAGGAGAAGAAGAAGATCAAAGCGCGCATGGCGGCCGAAGCGGCCGAGGAGGCCAAGAAGGCGGCGCTGGCCCCGCCCGCCCCCGCCACGGGCGGCGGTGGTCTGCCGCATCCCGGCTCGGCGCAGCTGGAGGCCCTCATGACCTGCTGCATCTGCATGGACCGCTTCCGGGTGCCCAAGATGCTGCCCTGCCAGCACTCCTTCTGCGGTCACTGTCTCGAAGGTAATTCGGTTTATATAAGGCTCGTGTCGTGGGCAGTTGATGCCGGTGTACACTTTCGGAGAGTCGTCTCGTTTGTGAATACAAATTAAAATCGTTTATCTACTCTACCGAAAAGCTTGATGCCAAATTAGATCTAATTTTGTTAAAAGTAACATATAATTTTATGAGGTGCGGTTAGTGGGCAAGGGAAGCATCGAAGGACGTGCTTTTAATTAAAGGCATATGGCTTACGCCGTAGACATTTGATATCAGTGTACACTTTCGGGGAGTTGTCTTATTTGTGAGTACAAGGTGAAGCCGGTAATCAACTCCCTCGAACGCGTCATATATGCGCTTGATTTTTTCATAGTTAAGTCGGTTAAGAAAGAAAAATCAGGAGGGAAACAAGCAGGTTAAGCGTTCCCCTCCTGTCAACCGGCTGCGCTCGGCACTGCCCGCATCGTCTGAAATGCCAGATGATTTACGGGTGCCAAGTGATATTTACGCAACGGGGCTGATGGGCGTATTAATAGTGCCATCAGCTCGACTAGCACATCAGCCAGCACTGCTGACGCCGGCGGTTTCCTCCCGGGCTGATGTAATCCAGCCGGGACGACGTTTGTTGCCTGTGTAAATGGCAAAAAGCAAATGTGCTGCGAAAGTACATAAACTATCCGGTGATATAACTGACTGAAAGAGTAACGCGGCGCATGTGCTTGCAGGACTGTACGACTGGGTCAAACGGCAGATCAAGTGTCCGGAATGCCGCACCGAGCACCACTGCTCCAACCCCGAAAACTACCCCACCAACCTAACCATGGTGCGCTTCATGGAGGTCCATATTGAGGCGATGGGCGGGGATCCCGGGGAAGCGATGCAGGCGCCGCCTGTGCTGCAGCGTTGCACGGTAAGACCGGTTTTTTCGTATATACTGTTGACGCGCAGGCGATTAGTGTGTGCGTTGGTGAGCGCTGCAAATAGCCGCGCCAACTGTCCGCCCCCGCGAATTTCCCAGTAGAAAACACGACCGTGTCAACAACACACATGTTGTGCTGTGTTTTCCGCACGGGATCGTCACCGTTAGAGATCAACAACGCCGGAAATTTTTTACACCGAAAATTGTTGACAGGTTTGCGGCGACAACGCGGAGCTGAAAAACTGCGCCCACTGTGATCGGAAAGTGTGCAACGACTGCCGCGACGGCCATGCCGAGATCCTCAAACGGGAACTGGGCCGGCTCATTAACCAGGTCAAACGCGGAGTGGTAAGTCCGGGACTTCCGGTGGCCGGAAGTGCAGGAAATCTAAGAAACCTAAGAAATCTAAGAAACAGGGCAGTTAGAAAAGGTCACTATTTAGTCGCGGCTGGAGGAAGCGGCCGGCTACATTAAGCGCAACGAAGCCCAGCTGACCACCAACGCCAGCGCCATTCGCGAGGAGATCAAGGACATGGTGGCGCGCTACATCAAGGAGATCCGCAACCGCGAGGAACTACTCCTGTCGCAGGTCAACAATTTCCTGCAGACGGAGCAGCGCTCCATGCAGCACATGCAGGACAATCTGGACGAGGAGGCAAAGTCCTTGAACGTGGCCATGGAGGCCGCCAACAAACTGCTGGAGGATCCGGCCTCCACTGTCGAAGACTTCATGGCCGAGTCGGCCACCTTCAAGGACAAATTTCAGAAGAGTCTGGACTTCCTGAAGAACTTCAGTCCCGACGCGCAGGAGTTCACCAAGAGTCTGCGCTTCATCAAAGGTCAATCGGAGCCGGATCTACTGCACCAGTGCATCCTGGCATTCGGGGAGTTACACGTCAACACGATGCATTTCAACCGGTTTGTGACAAATTCGGAGCGGATGGCCACGCAGTTGATTCAGAGCCAGTTTGAGGCGACACTGGCCGAGTATAAGCGGCAGCAACAGGAACAAGCGGAGACCGCCGCCCAGCAGCAGCAACTGCAACAACAGCAGCCGGTGAATCAACCGGCAATCCAGCTGCCGCAGTTTCAGAGTGAATACATGACCCGACGCGCCGGTAAGTGCATTCTTCGTTAACCGAAGCGAAGTTAAAATTATGGCGGTTTTATTTTAGGGGAAGATTTACGGGAGTACCGGGATCGCCGCCTGGAATCCTCGCCCTCCCGCTACAACACCACCGCCCTGGAGTTCCCCACCCGCAACGAATACATACGGGAGTCTAGCGCGCCGGCCTCGTATCTGGCTCGGGTCAACCGCTTGACTACCGCGACGGACCCGAGCTCGACAACAGGCACCGACCCGGTGTTCACGCCCCGCAGCACCACCACCACGACCCCCACCACGGCCGTCGAGAACCCAGCGGCCCGCCGCCAGAAGTACAAGGACTCTAGATCCCACACCGCGGACCTCGGATTGCTGCGGGAGAGTGTGGATGAGAGCGGCCGACGGGGATCGGGCGGGGACACCGACAACGAGATCGCCGACGCCCTGGCCGGACGGGGACGGTACGGCACCCGCCGGCTGGAGACGCAGGACAGTACGGAGAGCGTGTCGGGAGACGGGAGGCGTCGCTACCGGTAAAATCTCCCGGAAGCCCGTGCCGGACAGAAATTGTAGAATTTTTTGTTGCAGTGGCGGCGCGAAGACCTCGGAACTGACGGACTTCGACACCAGCGCCACCCGTCTGTACCAACGCGACACAACGACCCCGGACACGGCCAGCGCCCGCTCCGGACGCGGCGGGTCCAGCGCCTGCGAAGTGGCCATTGCCCGGCGGCGCCGGCGTTTCGGCAGTACCACGGCCGGGTCGCAGGACGACAGCACGCCGGCGGTAGTCGCCCCCACCACCACCAGCGCCCGCTCACCGTACAGCTCGGTGGCTAGTGCGGCGTCGGCGCTGCGGGAGACCAGCCCGGTGAACAACCGGCGGGCCCGGACGCCGCTGCTGAACAACGACTCCGACGAGGAGGACCGTGCGGAAAAAATGCCATACTACACGCGCTACCTAGCCAACAAGGCCAAGTCCCGCGAACAATCGCCGACGGACGAGTACGGCCGGGGGCGCCTCCTCGGGCCGGGATCTGGGCGCTACCCGGGATAGTGTCTACCTGCGCAAAGGTCAGTAGCACCTCCTCCATTTTAAGTTACGTAATAATCTCAAATGACCTTTCGACCTAGCCAAAGGTCACTAGAAGATCGGTCTGTAAATGTGTAATAATTTGGGGTGACCTTTGGACAGGGAGGAATCCTACAAAGGTAGGTGCTCGGGGAACAGAGCCGGGCCAGCTAAACTGGCCGCGCGGTGTGGCCGTGACGCCGGAGAGCCGAATCGCCGTGGCCGACTCATCCAACCACAGGGTAACGCAGCGCTGCATCCGCCCGCCACACTAACTGACATGTTGCACGCGTGCACACTAACTGAATGGCGATTGACACACACGTCCCGTTTCGTTACATGTATTAACACGCGCAGCCTTAAGCACAGTGCCCTGTTGGTTGCTTGCAGGTGAGTATCTTCGACATGTCGGGCACGTTCGTCAAGGCCTTCGGCACGTACGGCAGCGCACCCGGCGAGTTCGATTGCTTGGCGGGCATTGCGGTGGCGCCGGACGGGCGCATCGTCGTCTCCGACCGCTACAACCACCGCGTCAGCATCCACGACGCTGCCGGGCGGTTCATCCACTCCTTCGGCAGCGAGGGCCACCTGGAGAACCAGTTCCAGTATCCGTACGGACTGTGCATCGGCGGCGGCTACATCTACGTGTGCGACAAGGACAACGCCCGCGTCCAGAAATTCACGCTGGACGGGCGGTTTGTGGGGAAGTTCGGGTCGGCCGGCGTGCGCGCCTCCTCCCTGAACAACCCGCACTACTGCGCGCTGTCGGCCACCGGCGACCGCATCTTCATCTCCGACAGCGGCAACAACCGCATCGTCGTCTACGACGTGCGCGACAACAGCCAAGTCGCCACGATCGCCAGCGAAGGCACCACGGACGGGAAACTGCAGTATCCCCGCGGCCTCGCCGTCGACGAGAACGACTACATCTTCGTCGGGGACGCCGGGAACAACCGCGTGCAGATCTTCGGCAACCGCGACTACCGCTTCGTCTCCAGCTTCGGCTCCTGGGGCACCGTGCTGGGCGAGTTCAAGGGGCTGGAGGGCGTGGCCGTGTCGCCGGATGGGCACATTCTGGTCGTCGACCGCGACAACCACCGCATCCAGATCTTCTAGCCGTGACCTTTCTGTTTTTCTCTGTATAGTCTTTTTACGGCACCATCTAACGATGACCTTTCTGTTTTTCTCTGTAAAGTCTTTGTACCGCTCTGTATAAATGTTTCTAAGCAATAATCTCACTTCCTGCTTCCTTGTTCCGACGCCTCCCGCCAAGTCCCGCCAAGCAATCGCCGCCGCCGCACTCGCAGCGCCACCGGCACCCCGCCTGTGTGTTCGAGGTCGAGTAACGCTAGGGTAGTCTGTGTTTACGTAGAATGCGCGGTTTGTAGGAGACGCGGCCGACTAACGACATCCTGGCCGAGATGAGCGACGCGCTGACGCGCGCCACCACCGCCACCAGCGGCAAATATTCCTCCGCCAACAGCGCCGCCCGGCCCGACGCCAACTACGGATCCAGCAGCGGATACAGCTACCGGACGCGATACGCACCGCGATATTAGTCTGATCGCGATATCTATGCAGCAGCTACTGACGCTTTTTCTGATGCAGATGCTCTATTCGCAAAACTTAATTGCAGTTATTATTAAATAACGATCATTTTGATACCTGAATTTCCCGGTCGTTTTCCGTAAAATTAAAAGAGTCAACAAAAAAGAGCAATAACAAATTAACCACTACTAAACAGTCAGTGCTCAAGTGCAATTTTTTATGTTCCATTTAAAAGATATGAAGTTGAATTCCAGGAATCAGACATCTTCCCTAATTTATTTCGGGACAACGTTAAGGCTAGATTTTTCAAGAGTTGTGCAATGTGATTCTCGTGTCAGATGAGAAAAATTGTGATCGATAATGATTTGTCGGAAACCAGCTTCTTCGTCACACATCGACCAGCGAAATTGTCTAACTACGCTAATAAGAAAATGAGCCGGCTAATAGAAAGGGAAACCTGTGCAACGCTCCCGAGATCATGTCGCGATTAACGCTGGTGCGCAGACAACTCTGCAATCCGATTCTTCCTAAGCAGACGGATTAACTTCTTTGATGCTGTATAACTTGTCAGCAACAGCATTTGGCAGAAGATAAGATTGCTGTGCGCTACGCGGGACATATTTCGCCCCAGGAAATGAAATGCAGCGCGCACGCCTGCGCATATTACACATGATGGTATTATAGCCTTTTTCCGCTGTTTCTGACCTGGGTCTGCAAAATCCGTTACGGGCTGCGTCGGCCGTATGGTTACCGGCATAAATATATACAGTATTCCAGTCTTGTCAATTTTCTCAACGGACGATAGTGCGGCTAATGCGTCGATTGTGCAGATTGTGGCAAAAAGCGTAACAGATAGCAACGTCCGGGAAATGGATGCATTAGTCCGGCGGAAGTTGTCGTAGTGGTGATCCAGCCACAAATACCGGGACGCGAGATTTAGTGGGTGCTTTGTAAAGACCGGAAACGCAAACACCGCTAATGAGCTCCCGGCTTAATTGTGGCGAGCACACTGTAAAATGTGCCGACAAAATGTGCGGGGCCGCATGTCTTCATTTAACACGGGATCTGTTCATTGCCAGCTGGATTAACTAATTAACCGTCAAAATGACGCTGGATTATCCGCTGATATTTCTCTGCGTTGCGTTCCGTTTTTTGTCTGCGGTGAGCAGCGTCCAAGTGGAGTTTCTGCTGGTGCTGCCGTTGGACCCCAGCGTCGCGCCGTCCCTCCCGCGGGTGGACGGCGCGGCGCACTACGCGGTCAGCGGCGTGCGACAGCGCTACGGCAACCTCAGCGTTGGTCTGCACTACATTCCGGATCCGCCGTTCCCTAACTGCATGGAGCTGGACAAGGCGGCGCCGCTCCTTTTGGCGCAACACCACTACGCGCATGAACTGGTGGCGGGCGAGGAGCGCTGCACGGCGGCCATTAGTATCGGCTGCAGCCCACAGGAACTGCAGACGTTCGCCGCATTGTGCCGAGGTATGATTAAACTTTAAACAATTTCGCTCCGAAAATTAAGCATTCTTATTTCCTTGCAGAGTTTGGTATAACGCTTTTTATAAGGTAAATTTTGATCTATAACTCTCAACTTTTACGGTTTAATACTCTTGCGCTGCAGTGGCCAGAGCACGGACGACATGACCAACGATGACCTTTACCCGACAGTCATGATGTCCGGCGTTTACGGCTCAATTGCCGCCGTGGTGTTGGACGTCATAGCGGCGTACCGTTGGCAGCATTTTACCATTTTACTGGACATACATATAACGAGCAATCTGTACGCCATGATCGGGCAGTCCATGGAAAAGCTGGGTCGGGAGTCCGTCCACCCGGCTTTCCAGCTGGAGAAGCTGTCTTTTAGTGGGACGGACGAGGCGTCGATCGTGTCCGTGCTGCTGACAGCCAAAAAAGCGCAGTCGAGGTAATCATGCCGCTGCGGTGAAGCTCTTAGCTTGAATTTATTGCTAAATGTCGGTTGCGCTGTATAGTGAATGTTCTGCTGTGTCCGACGACGGTTTCGCTGAAAATACTGGTAAGTGCCGCCGAACCGATATCACCTAATGGGTTACATATAGGAGAATTATATTCTGTCCAAGTAGAAGATCGGAGCAACGCTCGGCATGGGCAATGGCGAATATGTACGTATTTTGTCGGTTACCGGTTATTTGACACTTGCAAGCACTGTAACGCTTCGATTGGTAGGTGTTCGTAACGACTCAACCGGTGCAGCAAGCCGCATTCTTCGGGAAAGCCGCTCATTTTAACGAACCCGATGAAGCGGTAAGGTTACCGTCGACGGTTGAAACCTTGGCGCTCTTATAATAATTTTATTTGCACCCAATTAACAGACATTTAACATCACGCGCTCCATGCTGTTCATGACGGTGCACACCGAGCGCAACCGCTATGCCGCCCTAAATGCCTACTTGGCCAAATTTGCATCGGAGAAGTACAATTTTACCGCGGGAACCGATGAACTGGTAATTCTTAACCGTTCCTAGTGTAATCATTTTGACGCCAGTAAAGACAGTGTTTATGTCGATAGCCGTTAGACAACTACGCCGCCCACAGCACCATCAACGCCATCGAGATGTTCACCCAGTTGGTACACGAAGCAACGTCCACCAACGGCAGCCGCAACACGGGTCTTTGTCCGGAACAAGTGTTGGCGCGGCGCACCGCCAGCCACGCCTTCCAGACCTCCATTGACCAGGTCTTTATCAACGCCCGCAAAGTGCACATGCTGGACTTTGACATTTACGCTTTCGACGCCGGTACACGGAAGATGACGGTCGGTTAAAGCTCCTTTACTCCAGTATCAAATAGCACTTAACGGATGACCTTTTCGCAGAAACACTCGCTGTTTAACGCCAGCACGCGGACCATTAGTAACCTGGGCGCGTTCAACATCAGCTGGGTGCTGAGTGCGCCGCCGGCCGATGTGCCCTTGTGTGGATTCACCGGGACAGATGGACCCTGCGCTTTCACCGGTACATTGACATTCACATCCGGTGCGTCTTGAATAGCGCTAAAGGTTGATACTGCAGGCATGCGCAGCACCGTTATTTCCGTTTCCGTTGTTGTTCTCGGATGCACGGCTTTCGGCGCGCTGATCGTTACGCGGTACGGAAGAAGAAATCTCATGCGTTAAAACATTAATTTAACCTCGATAAAATTTAGACTGTTGAGACGACGTTTAACGGTGCGCGGAGCCGATTGGTGGCTTTTGGCGCGGGAGGATCTGCAGGGATGGAGTAAGTCGCATTTCGACAGCCAGATGTCGGTGGTCCTCCGGTCGGCAACGTGGAAAGGCAGTCCCGTCTGGGTAAAAGCGCTGCCGCTGCCCAACACTTTCACCGTCGATATCGGCCGCTTGCGGCGCTTAATCAAGGAGCTTCAAGTAAACACAGAAATCCTACCAAATTCGATATAATTTTACGTCACATCGATTGTGTTGCAGCACGAGAACATCAACCAATTTTACGGCCTAATTTTTGCCGACGGGGATATTTTACTCCTAAGTCATTTCTGCAGCAAAAATTCCTTGATTGACCTTTTGGAGAATATTTTCCTGGACACTACGTTCCAGCTGTCTTTCATCGCGGATTTATTACGGGTAATCGCAGTCGATCAGAAAGATAAACATTCTTGTACGTCATGCTTTTTAGGGTCTGCATTATTTGCATTCGTTGCCTTTCCCGCACGGCCGATTGCGATCGGCCTGCTGCTTGATCGACAGCCACTTCACCCTGAAAATCGGGAAGCCGGCTTTCGCGATCTGACGGCGTACGTCCAGCGCACGTCGACCAATTGGGGAATCTCCGTGGAAGACGACGTGTTCAGTGCGCCGGAGAACGCGCGCACCTCCACGCTGACCGGTGACGTGTACGCGGCCGGCGTGGTGGTCTTTCATATCCTAACGGGCGCTCCGTGCTCCATCGTCAACCGCAAGAACTACCCGGACTCCTTGTCGCCGGATCTGCAGTTCTTCGTGCGACGCTGCGGCCAGGCCGATCCACAGAAGCGGCCGACGGCCAAACGCATGCTGCTGGCGTTCTACCAATTCGCGCAGACCAAGGCCGCCGGGATCACGCCCAACAGCAACGTCTGCGACCGGGTGATTGCGCGGCTGGCGATGTACGCGGCCGCCCTGGAGGCGGCGGTGCTGGAACGGACGAAGGAGCTGCAAGCCGAGCAGATGAAGTGCGACAGTATCCTGGCGCTAATGCTGCCCCAGTAAGGCATACTGTTAAAAGCGATTTGTTATGAAAGGTCACGAACGTAATGATGAATGTTGTAGAATAATGCATATAACATTAAAATAAAGGTCGTCCCGGTAAGGGTTCCTGTTAGTATGTAAAGGTCACTCATTAAAGTAGATATTTGGCGCCTGTTTTCTGGTGTAAATGCCATTAGGAAAGGTCACACAACAAATGTATATTCAACCTTTTTTAAGGAGTAATAAAAAGGTCATCCATCGGCAGGTATGTCATCCAGCGGCTACGCAATCACAACGCCGTGCAAGCGGAATACTTCGAGCATGTGTCGGTGTGTTTCGCCAGCCTGCAAGGCTTCGCCAGCTGGGCCAACCAGGCGCTCCCCGGCGAGATTATCGGCCTGATTGCGCGCGTGCAGACCACCTTCGACTTGCTAGTGTCCAGTTTTCAGGGCGTCCAGAAAGTGGAGGCTGTTAATGACTGCTATCTGGTAGTTAATCGTTTCTTGCGATGCTTATAAGCCGTGACAGTCTATGTCTGTTTAAAGGTCGTCAGCGGGATTCCGCGCGATGTCAACCTGTCGGAAGAGGCGCACGCCGTGGAGATGTGCCGGCTGGCCGTCGCCATGCTCAACGTCACGGCGTACAACAACGCCATCGGCAGCGCTGTCCTGAGCGGCTGCAGCGTCCGCTGTGGAATTCATTCAGGTACTCGTACCCATGCTGGGTGAAATGGAATATGTGTATAATAAAGCCGCCAAGAAAATGGGGTCGGTTTATAGGATCCTGCGCCGGCGGAGTGATCGGTACGAAGGTCCCGCGCTACTGCATGTGAGTTTCTTAATGTGCAGCACTCGCTCCTTATTAGTTTGTTGGTTAAAATACGGGGCGGTTGTTTGCAGATTTGGTGATACGGTTAATGTGGCTTCGAGGATGGAGAGCGCCGGCCAGGGCGGACACATTCACATCAGCGGCACCACGGCGCAGCTTTTGCGGAAGAGCACCGAGTTTGTCTGCGCACTGCGCGGCGATATTCCCATCAAGGTAAAAAAGACTGCAGTAGTTACACGTATGCTGAATCCTGCAACAACACCTGTTGTTTCCGGTTCTGCCAGGGAAAGGGAATGATGACCACGTTCTGGCTGAAGCCGACGACCAGCACAACCATAGCTCCGGCGGACGTGACGCGCCAACGCAACAGCGCCCGACGCGGCCGCATTCCGCCCTCCTATCTGTAGACGACTACTGTCTATCCTTTGGCGTCCGCAAGCCAAAGGTGTTTTCAGTTAACCCCAACGCTCCAGGCTCCAATGGTGATTTGTTCTGTGCAGTGAACAGATAAACAAGCGCTAAATCCGCTATTCAAGAGGCGCAGAATTGTATTTTAAAATAAACCGGTTTATTTTAAAAACGTTCGATACAAGGATGCGCGTGCTTCACCCGATAATTCATCAGCTATCGTATCGTCAAAAATGATGATTAAATTTTGTTGTGTGGAAAAACAGCCAGCGGCTTTGATATAGGTTTAAATGGATGGTATTAAAATTTATTTTGTGGGTTTTTTTTTATTTTTGAGTTTGCCAAAAAGTTTGCCAAAGAAAGGGTACTTTATTGGGTTACTGGAGTAACATAGGATAGAAACAAAATTAAGCGTCACATCATTTTAGCACATAGTACACTTCGTCCAATCTCTTACCAATACAGAACGTTTCCTGAACACAAGCAGCATTTGCCAAAGTGTTGCTTCTTTTCTCAACAAAAACTGTCTTTTTATCCTGCCTGAAAATCAGCCCCTCCTTAGTCCTCCGAAATGCCAATGTTACGTCGCATTCTATAACCTGCGCGAGCGCCGGTTGCAGCCGTTAGCCGATTGGTCAGCTGACCTGTGGCCAGTCGTGCCATGCGTACATTAGTACAGTAGTACATACATGTACAGTAGTACACTGAACACGCCAACAACACGGACAGGTAAATAACAAAATTAATCAGGGCGCTGTGTAATGAGTCAGACGGTTGGCTTTTGTTTTCATACATTCGCACACCAACTTCATTATCGCGCTGCACTGTGCCGCAGTGTGTCTGTCAAGTGGCGAGCACTGATAACCGACAAGACTACACTTCCCCTATTGTATCGTGCAGCGATATGCTGCTGATTAGCCGGACGATATCTTGATGGCACACTGCAAAATGTATCCAGTTGATTGTCCAAATGTAACCAAACATTGTCATGCAGCCGCTGTAAATTTATCATGTTAAGATTGCTGCTTATTGCCGTGCTTAACGTTTTAACTGCTACATCCACAATAACTAAATTTTGGTATAAAACTGAAACTATTGAATTAATTAAAAAAATTATTTAAATCTCAAATAATCACTGCATATTTTTTGTATTCCGCACCGCACGGTTTAGCTACAGAATTACCACAGTTATCCGTGTAAACGGTACGACCTAGCGAACATGAGCCGCCCGAGCGCTATCCTCTTCGACACCACCGACATCTGTATCCTGATTGGTGGCGCCGGCAGTACGGCAGCCGCCTGCGCGGAAGGTCAGCTGGTTAACGAGTACGGGAAGCAAGAGGATGCCGCAGTATTGAAGACGCTGCTGGATGCCGCTGGCTTCACTTCCACATCCGTCCACGTGCTGACCCTCGACAACTTCCGCTCCGTCCTGGATAATCTGCAGCGCGCCGCCGACCAGCAAAACCACCAGCTGCTGCTGGTTAATTTAATTGATGGCGTCGAGACCGACGGCTATCCCGGCGTCAGCGTCGTCCGCGAGATCGAGGAGCGGCGGATCCCCTTCACCGGGTCTGATTCCCGGTTTTACCATGACACCACTAGCAAGCCGCACCAGAAGGCAATTTTACAGGTAATTTATATATGATCCTGATATAATTCCTACTAAATATTATTAATCTGTTCTTTATGTATCCACACGAAAACTGTATACGTATATTTTATATTTATTTTTTAATTTTATTGATATATTTTTATCGGTATAAGTGAATCGATTTTTTATATAAGATGTGTCTGGTATTTTTGGCCATGGTATGTATGATTTTAATTTTTGTTTATTTTGCTTAGTGAATTTTTTCAGTAATTCAAGTTTCCGATAGAAACATGGCGTCAACACGGCTGCGTTCGTGGAGATCCTTCCCGAGAAGATGGAGGACAATATGGCCGAGGCCGTTAATTTAATAGGCTTCCCGATGATCATTAAACCGTCGGTATCCTACGCCAGCCTGGGCATTTCCGCCGACTCCGTCGTGTCGACGGTGCCGCAGCTTCGCGAGCGGCTGACCGCCCGCCTCGTCCACTTCCCGCAGCTCTTCGTTGAGCGCTACCTCCCGGGCCGCGAGTACACCGTCCTGGTCAGCGGCGACGCGGAGACCGGCGTGAAGGTGTACAAACCGGTGGAGCGGCGCTTCAGTGAGGCCGTGCCGGTGGAGGAGCGCTTCCTGGCCTACGAGAAATACTGGGCGGGTTACGGTCTCCATGGCACGGAACGGGCGCCGGACGCGCCGCACGAAGAGTTCTACGAGTGGACGGTGCCGTCGGAGGGGGTCGCGGAGCGGGTGGTGGAGGTGGCGCGGCGGGCGTACCTGGCGCTGGGCGGCAGTGGTTACGCAAGACTGGACATCCGGTCGGATGACTACGACCCGGTCAAGGGGAATCTCTCAGTGCTGGAGGCCAACGCCAACCCGGGACTGTCCTTCAGCGTATCCTCTTCCATAGGAAAGGTACATCCAACTCATCTTTTTTATAACTATCTCTGTTTTAATTAATTTTATCTTTATTTAAATTATTTTTTCTTTATTTATTAATTTTATCTTTATTTATTAATTTTATCTTCTATCTTTATTTTAATGTTTAAAAAAGTTTATTACTTTATATTCGGTTTTATCAATGTCTACTTTTTTAGGTCCATTAATTTTATTTCATGTTGTTTTTCGCATTAATATATTTTGTTTGAAGCATTTAATCAAGTATTTAGGTGGTTTTTACATATGCAGATTCACTGGGTAATCTCTAATTTCCTATTAATTTTGATCAGTAGTTTGTGAAACCTAATTTTTATATGTATATCTATCACTTTTTTGCAGATTATTGAAAGTACCGGCGAATCACCAGCGCAGTTCTTGATGGACATGCTCGACTATGCAGTTTCACGCGGCACGCGACGGGATATGTAATATACTGGGAAAACCATTAATTAACACGCTCTAATCATTTACTGTAGAATCTTTTATCTACGTATGTACAAATGCAGTACCTTTTAAAGGATTAGGTTGCTTTTGCATGTGCCGCCTGCTCTAACGGAATATTGTTTCTGCACGAACAATGTGTAAACTACCGGTACTTTGTATTTAAAATATAGACCGGAAGTTTTTCTGTCACGCAAACAAAAATTAATGAAAAATACTAATAAAATCAAATAAAAAGACCGGCATTGTTTTGGAAAAGTCACAAAGGTCGCTGACTACATAACTCATCCAGCGCATGAAGCATGTCCACAACTTTTATTTCACTAAAAGTATATGTCTGGCTTTAAATAAAACTGCTGAAAATATTCAAATAGTCCGAACCGGAAAGAAATGCCACCAGATTCTACGCCCTGCGAGCTGGGAAACGAAAAATTTTCAGAACATTGCAATCTGCACCATTGCACAGGAGACCGGTTTAATTTTGTCAAAACCATCTTATTGATTCTGGTAGCTAATTGAATTGTCTATCAAACGAAGCTATGCAGTAAACATTGCGATAAATGGTTCGCAAGAAACACAGCAAAAGAGAAGAATGACATTTTGTTCGGCCACCCAGTACTCATACCGATCTACCGCAGACACAGTCATACAGTGTACTGTCGTCTGTAGTCATTAGAAAAACAGTCGTTAGAAAAGAGCAGTAATTAGTTGGATACATATATCTCTCACTTCAGTAACCCGAACACAACAGATCTTTCGATCATCTTTTGAGAGAATTTAAAGGCCGTATTAAGCTCTTTCTGCCACCCAGAAGGTGCGCATTATTCCTTTTCCCTAAAGAAAAATATTTGCTCGGTAAACCTTCTTCTGACCCAGAAATGCTGTGGTCATGGCGCGTACTTTAATGCTGATTGGTTCCCGAGCTTCAATGCGAAAAGCATCCGGACTATTATCAAGCAGCACTTTCGTTTCCATGCTAATATTAATTTTTCCTTCTAAAACAATAAAAGTAAACATAACATTTGTCCTGTCACTTAGGTGGCTGCTGCGCTCTGCAGAATGCACATTTACAAGGCAAACATAAATCTGTGTTACAATACGTTTTCAAGTCAGCCAAATATTATTATGTATGTAATCACGATCAGTTGCCGGTACTTATGATTTAATTTAAGTACGAGTACCTTCTCCGGTACTTTCCATTCGACTAGCGGTGTTCATCGTATCGCCAAACCTGCCATAAGCATTAAGCACTAGAGTACTCATCGAAGCAGTAGAGTAAAGTTAACCAAAGTGGCTGCGAAATATATGTTTAGAAAGAAATAACGCAACGGCACGCAGCATTTAGTGGACTAACGCGCAATGGCCAATTGCGTACAAACAGTAGCGCGGCATTCGTGTCCCAATCACAGCGGCAACCACCGGCCCTGAAGCACACATCGGACTTGTCAGTACGGACAGCGCAGGTCGGAACGCAGCCACTTGTACATCACGTAACAACATACCAAATGTATTCACTGATTTTGTATCCTATGGGCTTCAAATATCTTTGATGAATATGCGATTGCGTTTACCTGTATTAATACCGATTCGCAGCTGTACCGGTTTCCCGGTAAAACTGATGTCTGGTAAGCGGTTGGTGGCCTTGACAAGAGCTGCGGCAAGTCGGCAGGTCTCCCGAGCATGTTCTTGTCCGTTTTGTACGGGTAGACCACTAGCAATCTGCAAGGCAGTACACTGGGATGTACTGGCATTTTTGCACATGTTCTTATAATGCAGTAACTGGTGCTATGAGTCCTGTATAGGTATATGATGTCCTATGGTTAGGAATGGTCGATTTAATTGCCCGATGATTTCACTGAACGTGCTACAAGCTTGTCCGGTAATTTCTGACGAATCAATACAGCGATTTACACAAATTTGCGTGTTACGCCAAACTTCACACTATGGCGCGCCACGCCACACTGTTTAAACACGTAACTTGCATTTGGCTGGCTGGTGGCTTGGTACACGCCATATAAGTTTATGAGAATCATAGTAACTGCCTGGCGGAAGGTGGCTAGATAATGGTCGGTGCGTAAGCGACAAACTAACTGCGGAGCGCATTCAGAGAATCTGATAATCGTAGTGAAGTGGCCCTCGTGATAAGCGCAAACTTCGCGCTAGCTGAACCTTTACGTAGGAAATTACCGGACAAGCTTGAAAAGTAGCACAGTTTACCAGATAGGAATCGCTGATGGTTTCCACTTTATACACATCGAAGGCTTCTATAAGACGGTCCAAATGTGAGTAGACCATATTCAGGAAGGCGATTATTGCCAGCGGAGATTTCGCGGAAACGCTCTTCTGGAAGACGGGTATATCGCTGAACGTGATGGTTGCGCTGTTAAACATTTCCGGAGCGATTACTTGCTTGTTCCGCAGACGCCTTACAATGGAGCTGCGTAGAGAAAAACTTGGTGACTCCTTGTTTTATTCTAATATGCCTTATACAAACTAGTTTTATACTAACTACGTAGTTTTATACAGATATGCCTTAGCGAATCTAGGCTACGACATACGCAGGAAGCATCTCCCGCAGCAGTGCGTCAGCTTTGAGCATTTCCGTTTGTAGCTCCCGGCTTCGTTCTGCCACTACTTGCTCCAGTGCCTCGGCGTGTTTCTGCAGTTTTTTCACCACTTGCATCAAATAAGCCGATGGCTTGCGCTGGATAGCGCGAAAGTGTTTACTAAAAGTCTGAATCATTGGCCGTTTCACGGGGACATCCAGGCACAATCGCAGCAAGATTTGCAGTCGTTCCGGGATGACCTTTTCCGGAAGCGTGAATATCGAAGGACCGCCGGTGCTTCGCATTTTTTCTACCGCTTCTGCAAACGCCAAATATTAAAAACAAATCACCAACTGCATCTTCCCAGAACAGAGTATGTAGCCCAAATCAGTCTACCTGCTTTGGATCGACTCGATTGAATTCAATGTGGCGCCGTATGGCAGCGACCTTGTATGCACTTCGTGGAAAATAATTCCCAAAGAGTACATATCGCTGGCTCTGGTTACAGCATGCAGTTTGCCGTTTGTGTCCTTCCGCAAGATTTCCGGAGATTTCCACAGGCTTTTCAGAGCCTCCACATCCGCAATCTCCGCGACTTGCAACAAATGCAGGATCTTGTAATATTTTGCCTGCGCTATTTTTAAAGCGTATCTGGAATCCAGAATACAGCACAAGCTGCTGAGATTCCCGTGTAAACCGACAGGACTTCGATGGAGATACTGCAAGCCCTAAAATTACATAACCCGAAATTGCATAATAACTGACCAGGGGTAGACACAAGTCTTCGCGTAGTGACGCGTAGCTCTATCATTTCCCACAATAGAGATAACCTTAAAACCTTATCTACTGGCAGATGTTGTTGTTCGAGCAGTTGACGTAGCGTGTCTTTCGCACCGTGTTCCGAAATAAGGAAACACTGTCCATCATGACGAACAATTCCTTCGAAACGGGCGATGTTGCTCCGGTGAAGGCTTCGCAGCTATTTAAGTAAAGGTCATCATGATAAAATTATTTTGCCTTGTAAATTCTATGAGCAAAGTTGTAGTGCATAAAACACACACATGGTTTTTGGTTAGATAAATTAGGTTGGCATCCACAAAATCTGCTATTTATATAAGCCAGTACAAGTAAATTATAACGTAGTCTGTATAAATTCGTTTTGTACGCTCCTACCTAGTGCAAAGACGTAAGGAGATCCATTCGTTTCGCCACGCATTTGATCAAATCGGTCGTCAGATTGCTGGAGATGTTCAAAGCGTACACATCTCTGCCATCATACTTTGCCACGACTCCCAGTTTCAATTCCACGATCCTCTGTGTATTACTGCGGCACGCTTGTGTAACGTCGCCACCACAGGAAAATTTTTCGCCATCTAGAATCCACCATGGATCATACAGCGCTTGTCGTCGTTTCATCCAGCTGTAAAATGCATTGGCGTCCATCATCAAAACTGGACCAGAGACTCATTTGCATGTTTGTCACTGTGTGCAGGGCACTTGCCAATAAGCCAGACTGGAAAGTGACACCAGAATCACACACGCAGCAGCTCCAACCCCGCCCGTTTTTGTTTTGAAGTCTGCCACAGCATAAAAGTCTTATCACTCGCAGCTCGTAAAGACGAAATTCACATTCTGTACATGGGTCGGTGTTGTCGCATTCGTTGTCTTGAAAACCACACCGCGGTCTGTCCGGAGGCGGGGCATCGCGACCTACCCAGTGCCATAACTGCGGCACAATATTGACCAAGCTTTTTGAAGGGGGACTGTAGATCATGGCCACCTAGAAGGACAACGGTGTGTCGGCCCAAGAAAGCACTATAACCCAAATAACAAGGCTGTCGCGAGCCATATACATAATTATGACGCTGTAGTGAACGCAAGTTTAGGTTTGCTGCATCACGCTTCTTATCTATAGTCTATACCTCCATATCGGTGGTATTGACGTTTAATCGGCTAAATAAAATGAAATTAATCATTCCACCGTTTCCATCAGTTGCATAAGTTCGACCGGCGTAATTAAATTCCCGGTTGAAGTATGTTCGGATGAAGGAGCGCTTTGGCTTCGTAAACACTTCTGGATAGGATTCATTGAATATCTAAAATAATATTTAAAAACTTCCAAATCGGTCTAATCGGTACTGCGGCACTCGAATCACATAGTGGGAATGTGAATATATCTTGTAAGAAATGACGTATTCTCTTTGTAGAGCAACTAACTGTTCAACATACAGGTATGTACATTTCAGTTTGAAACCTTACTTGAGCAAACATCATAGTTGACTCGTAAACCGATGTGACCGCTTCGTTTTTCTGCACAATATCAAAATATTCGGCCAGAGTCAAGAAGAGTTTCCCTCCCTTTAGTTTTCCCTCTCATATTTTCCTTGCACAAACTTTAATGTTATCTTAACTGCATCGACCATCTTGAAGTTACCTCGCTTCCAGGAACAGCAGTAATGTTGGTCAGCCGTTCGGTTTCACTGGCTATTTCCTCTGTTAACGGTACAATTTCTGTCTAGTTTGGGTTGAGTCCACTAATAACAATATCCGGAGCCTTTAATAAGTATCGTCATGTAAGTACAAACTGAGTACTAGAAAAAACGAGTTTATAACAAAAACACTTCTTCAATACTATCCTTCTGGCACTGCGTTTGGGAGCTCCAATTGTTACACCTCACGTGTGCGTTTGTGGGGAGATAGTCGACAACTTGGGACGACACGGGCTTCGATGCAAACGGTCAGCCGGACGACTGCCTAGACACGACGGCATCAGTGGTGAGTTCACCCGCGGATTAAAGACGGCCGGTTTCCCAGCACGAATGGAACCGAAAGGTCTATCCACGAAAGATAACAAGAGGCCGGATGTGATTACACTAATACCATGGGAACGGGGAAAACCGCTGGCAGTGGATGTGACTTGCGTCGATACACTCGCAGCTTCGTACATTGAGCGCACCTTTGCTAATGTCGGGGCCGCAGCCGAGCAAGCGGAAAGGAGGAAACTGGCAAAACATGCCTGGATGCAATCGAGATATAATTTCACCGCTGCAGCGTTCGAAATTTATGGCCCGTGGAGTAACGGGACTAAACACTTAGTGCAAAAGGTCGGGGACGGTATCGCCACTGCCACAGGCCAGAAACGGGCGAAAGAATTTTTTAGACAGCGGTTATCTATGCAAATGCAACGGGGAAACGCGATATGTGTCATGGGTACAATCCCCGAGCAGGATAGTATTGAAGAAGTGTTCTAATAACAATTAAACTCTGGAACGCTTGAAAGGCGATCTGCAAATTCGCGCACGACAGATTATGCATACGACAACGTCAGTCTGATTTCCAAGGTAAAAACGCACCGGATTATTTTGTGCATCATCTCCCTGATCCCAATTAACGGCCACAATGCCGGGACGTTGCATTGGTTGAATGGTGATAAAAACCTTCAAATACCGCATATCGCAGTCTCAGTACAGACAACATTGTACACTTACGAAATCGCCTGAGGTCATGTTTAATGCACTTGCAGTAATCTGTCAAGAAGACCTTATATTTTGTTTATAAGGTTTTATAGAGCCCCACACCGGCGCTTACCATTAACCGTCGCACATAGACCGGCATGGTCACGAAGAGGAATTCTGTAAGCATGTGTATGCCATGGAAAATGATTTCACTGTTGTTTGAAAGTGGTACCTCTACTGCGGCTTTTGAAGCTTTGCAGCAGCTCCACATAATCTTGTCCACCGTGCGAGGAATCAATTTCACGAAAATAAGCGGGATCTTTTTCTCTCGCCAACACTTTTCTGGTTTCCCCGCATCGTATGACGAAGGAATTGGAAAGGCCCACGTGGCGAGACAACGTGTCGCAGATCAACGTGACTGTCCGCCAGGAATAACGCTTGAGCAGTGCAGCCAGCGCATCGCCGACATCCGTTCCCGAAAAGGATGCTGCAACCGCCATTTTACAACGATATCGTGGCATTACTAAGCGCAAGGCAATAATTATGTTATAACAAAACGCATTGTGAATTGGTACCTGCGGCGGCACTGGTGGAGTATCGGGTCTTGTTTGTCAAATGTCAAGCTCAGATCTCCGGCATTGCTAAAACATGTGACATTTATACTGGCACGATTCACCGTACCTTTACTGTACGACTAACCGCACCGTAAGTTAGGACAATTTAGCGCAAAATCAAATAAAAACGATTGGTTCATGTATTTGCACTTTGTTGAACTACAGTTATTGCGCGGCGTTGCCTTAACATAATGCACATTTATTATAGCGGTGCCTTAATCGGCGCTGCTGGTGCGTCACAGCGGTATGGTAGTGGTGTGTACAGATACCTAGCTACGTACTGTACAGTGCAGATATTTGTAAACCCAGCGTTTTGTCACCGCAGTGGCCAAAACGAGCTGATTGATATTTATTTCTGATGAAGGAGTGCGGAATGGAGTGCCGCTTTTAAAGCAATTACGCCAAGGACATGCTGTATTGTACGATAATGTCCTACATATTATGGAAGGCTGGGTTGCAATTGCACTCTTCCCCGACGCTACTGTCAAGAGTCATAACCAATCTAATTATGGCGGCATTTGCCCAGTTGGATGTGCCGGATGTAGACGCGACTACAGCTGTATGTTAATAATAGGAATACTTAACGGATTGGTTAATTTCCGTTTAGTACAGCGACAGCATTCATACCGGAAAATACTGTACAACACAAGTATGTTGGAAACATACGTATGCGAAAAAGCGCTTACCAAAAGAGCTTAACTAATTCTTGTTCGGTACGTTACCGCGCTCAAGAAACAAAGACAAAATTAATGCTGATTACTTGGTCTTCTGTGTACAAAGATTGTATTGGCAGCTCGCTTACAATCAGCGCCACAATCAGGTATTTTTAAGCGCTGCCAGATATCGTTAGATTGTCATAAAAAACTATACTGTTCTATACAACTTCAAATGCCTCGGGATGTTTTCTGGTTATTTCTTTTTTCAAGATGGTTGCCACTTTTGCTCTACATCACGAAAAGCTACACATTCAAAAATCAGATAATAATGGTTAATGTCTCGAGCATACCTTATGAAAAATGGCAGATCATACTCTGAAACAGAATTCACACAGTTGCAGGTTCCGTTTCCTCTTGTCAGTGCTTGTCAGTTAAGATTTTCGAAATGTCGTGCAATACCAACCTCGAGCAAGGTCCGCGAACTGGAGAGCTTGGGCGGAGCATTCTGCAAATAAGAGTTATTGAGGCAGCGGCAACAGATGCTGCTATTTCAATTTCCAGACATTTTTTCCATTTCGGTAAAGAAATGCTTGAGTTATGACCGATGGGCGCGCTTTGAGCATGATAGGCTACAGTTTTTATACTGGTAGATGTTCTGGCCGTAGGCCAGGACAGTGACGCTGTACGAAACTTGTCAGTTTTTATACTGGTACAGCGTCGATGTTCTGGCCGTAGGCCAGGACAGTGACGCTGTACGAAACTTGTCAGTTTTTATACTGGTACAGCGTCGATGTTCTGGCCGTAGGCCAGGACAGTGACGCTGTACGAAACTTGTCAGTTTTTATACTGGTACAGCGTCGATGTTCTGGCCGTAGGCCAGGACAGTGACGCTGTACGAAACTTGTCAGTTTTTATACTGGTACAGCGTCGATGTTCTGGCCGTAGGCCAGGACAGTGACGCTGTACGAAACTTGTCAGTTTTTATACTGGTACAGCGTCGATGTTCTGGCCGTAGGCCAGGACAGTGACGCTGTACGAAACTTGTCAGTTTTTATACTGGTACAGCGTCGATGTTCTGGCCGTAGGCCAGGACAGTGACGCTGTCAGTTTTATACTGGTACAGCGTCGATGTTCTGGCCGTAGGCCAGGACAGTGACGCTACGAAACCTGTCAGTTTTTATACTGGTACAGCGTCGATGTTCTGGCCGTAGGCCAGACAGTGACGCTGCACGAAACTGTCAGTTTTATACTGGTACAGCGTCGATGTTCTGGCCGTAGGCCAGGACAGTGACGCTATGCAAACTTGTCAGTTTTATACTGGTACAGCGTCGATGTTCTGGCCGTAGGCCAGACAGTGACGCTGTACGAAACTGTCAGTTTTTATACTGGTACAGCGTCGATGTTCTGGCCGTAGGCCAGGACAGTGACGCTATGAAACCTGTCAGTTTTATACTGGTACAGCGTCGATGTTCTGGCCGTAGGCCAGGACAGTGACGCTGTACGAAACTTGTCAGTTTTATACTGGTACAGCGTCGATGTTCTGGCCGTAGGCCAGGACAGTGACGCTGTGGTTTTTATACTGGTACAGCGTCGATGTTCTGGCCGTAGGCCGACAGTGACGCTGTCAGTTTTATACTGGTACAGCGTCGATGTTCTGGCCGTAGGCCAGGACAGTGACGCTACGAAACTCTGTCAGTTTTATACTGGTACAGCGTCGATGTTCTGGCCGTAGGCCAGACAGTGACGCTGTACGAAACTCTGTCAGTTTTATACTGGTACAGCGTCGATGTTCTGGCCGTAGGCCAGGACAGTGACGCTGTACGAAACTTGTCAGTTTGTTTACTGGTAGACCGTCGATGTGCTGGCCGTAGGCCAGCACAATGACGGTGTACGAAACTTGTCAGTTTGTTTACTGGTAGACCGTCGATGTGCTGGCCGTAGGCCAGCACAGTGACGGTGTACGAAACTTGTCAGTTTTTATCCTGGTACACCGTCGATGTGCTGGCCGTAGGCCAGCACAGTGACGGTGTACGAAACTTGTCAGTTTTTATCCTGGTACACCGTCGATGTGCTGGCCGTAGGCCAGCACAGTGACGGTGTACGAAACATGTCAGTTTTTATCCTGGTACACCGTCGATGTGCTGGCCGTAGGCCAGGACAGTGACGCTGTACGAAACTGTCAGTTTTATACTGGTACAGCGTCGATGTTCTGGCCGTAGGCCAGACAGTGACGCTGTACGAAACTTCATCAGTTTTATACTGGTACAGCGTCGATGTTCTGGCCGTAGGCCAGACAGTGACGCTGTGAAACTTTGTCAGTTTTATACTGGTACAGCGTCGATGTTCTGGCCGTAGGCCAGGACAGTGACGCTACGAAACTTGTCAGTTTTATACTGGTACAGCGTCGATGTTCTGGCCGTAGGCCAGGACAGTGACGCTGTACGAAACTTGTCAGTTTTTATACTGGTACAGCGTCGATGTTCTGGCCGTAGGCCAGGACAGTGACGCTGTACGAAACTTTGCTGTTTTTTGTACTTGGTTGCATCTTGCCTGAAGTGCCGTATCAGATGATTACCTTCGCATCACCCCACACAGTTCTCGCCGAACGCTGCGACTGGATCTCCACTTCGCCGTCGAGCCTCTGGCCAAAGGTGGTGGTCTTGGCACTACCATGTAGCTGCCGGATTAGGAATTGCAACACCGCCCACCTCTCGATGTGACGTGTGATAGTCTAGGTTGCAGTTATCATCGTCTACGATGTTGGTAACCGCTAACGAGCCGCTTCATGCAACATCTTTTCCTACTCACCACTCGATACAATTGCACTAATTTGATCAACCCTCGGACGCTGTTTTATTCTCGTAAACCCGGGCACGCACGAAAAATATTTTTTATACTGTTATTCTCTCTTAATTATAGCGAAAAAATTCTTTTAAATTGCGGGTTGTTCCACAATTATTTTCGCACCTAAATTTTTTTCGTCGTACTGTACCAGGTACTCAGTTTTTATTTGTTTTGGGATTTATTTTTTGTACATATACAGAGTACTGGTACTTTCTGTTTAAATGGTAATTTAACTGTGATAGTTTTACTAGAATAGGCATTTTTATTTGTTTTATACGAGTACTTAATTTCTTATTATTGAAAATATCGGCGAATCGCTACTGTACGAGTAATTCTTGATCGACATGCCTGACTACGCGTACGCAGTCTCGCGCAGCGTGCGATGGAAAGAATAATCCGTTTGGTGAAAATGTAGTTTACAAAGTAGATGCTCGATTCATTTGGAATCTTATTTCTAAGAACTTTTTCTGGGGCAAGGTTTCCGTTGCATGTGCCGGTTGTGCATTACTAGAATCGAGGCTTTATTAATTCATTCCGACCGGAACGAACAATTCACAACTAGCAGGCCAATACGAATACAAGTACATAATTATATAATAATCATTAATTTTAATAACATTATAGTGGGCAATGAAAGCGCAACAAAATGAAGCATTTCTGTACACTTCTGCTTGTGCGGTGATGCGTTGGTGGCATTTTACATAAATCCAAGCAGAAATAACCGATGGACTTGCACTAGTCATATCTGAAAGATCAAGGCGACGTTGCAGCGCAGCCGGACGCCAGTGGGCGGGGCCTGGAGCTCGCGGCTACCCGGGGCGCACGGGGACTCCCCGATCGATCTCTCGCCGGGATCCGGCCGCCGGCGACCCGCCCGGGTGGGGTCCGCCGTCTTAGCGCACCCGGGGCAGCTCGACGTTCTGCAGCGGCACCACGGGGGCGTTGGCGCAGGAGAGGGGGTCCTGTAGGACCGCCGGACTGTTGCTGGAGGTGGGGATGGCGGCCGTGGAGGCGCGGCGGGTAACCTCGGCGTCCGGACCGTCGGGTAGGGTCAGGTGCGCCGCCGGGTAGACCACCGGGGAGGACTGCCGGCGCCGGAAGTGCTGGGCGGGCGGCGGCAAGGCAAGGTGCACGCTGGGACGTATTGCTTGCAGTAAGGCAGCGTTGGACGCACGCTTCAGCGAACTGCGCCGACTGGGGCTGGCCGTGGAGGCGGCGGCGGTGGAGGGCGGCGGGGAGGGCGCCGGGACCTCGGCGGCGGCGGCCTCCTCCTCCTGCTGGCGGTAGAGTTCGCGCGGGGAGCAGCGCGGCGTGGTGTCGACGTAGTAGATCTTGTTGAAGTAGTCGTGGTCGATGCGCACCGAGCCGTCGCGGCAAGGACGCACCACCTTCTCGAAGCGGTAGCCCCAGCGGATCTCGCTGGGGAGGTAGGAGGTCCGCGCCTGCGTCGTCAACCCCGTGGCCTCCACGATCCCCTCCAGTATCACTACGCAAACATAAAGGTCAACAAAAATACGCCGCGGAAGGCGAAGAAACAGAAAGGTCACCACCGGAAGTGGCGCCCCGACGTACCGATGACTTCCAGGCGTTCGTTCTTGAGGTCCTCGGCGGAGAGGTCGTAAAACGGACTCGTGGCGTCGATCTCGTGGCTGATGATGGTCGGCCAGACGAGGAACAGGCGGTCCGTGCCGTCGGCGAAGCCCACGTTGACGTCGTACTGGTAGAAGGGGATCTCCTCGCCCTCGGCGGTGACCCGCTCCTTCATGCACATGACGCGGATGTGCGCTTCCACGATGTGCGATCTGCCAATCATGTCAATTTCCCCGTTAATCGATGCCGTGCTCAGCTGACTATGGATTTCTTCATAACAGCCGATCCCATGAAAACTGGGATCAGTGCTGCTTATTTACCTGCGCATATCCCCGATGCGGAACATAAAGTGCATCTTCCCGTCGCGCTGGCAAATACACGCTGGAAAAACACGAGATAAATTTAACCGGTTAAACTGTGCATTAGTGCAGCTTCGCCAGGTTAAATCAAGCGTGAAATTATGCGATCAAAAATAGCCGGGTTGGCATGCAGCACACACAGCCGCTTAATGGGAGGGATGCGGCTTCGCGGAAAGGACGCGGATGGCCGCGAAGGAATGTTCGAGTAATTGCGGCCTTTTGCTAACCCGTAACCGCGCGGGTCAAACCGCTGCCAACGGCTAAATTTCCAGCTTAATTCCCGCAAAGTCAACATGTATCTGTCGAAGTTTGCAAGCGATGCGTGCATCATAAACATCATAATAAATTAATCTTCGTACTAGGAAACATTGCTGTTTGTTGCTTAGAATTTATACCGGTTACTCGAAGAAAACAAATTTGTTTGCAGTATAATTAAAGCTGTATGACGCAGCCGAGAATTTACAGAAAATTCCAAGGTCAGTTGAATTCAATAAAACGCCAATTATTTTAAGCAATACAGCGTCGATGCGGCGAAACTATGAGCTAAGGAGTTATTAATACACCCCGCTGGATGGTGCGAGTGTAAATGCTCTTCGATCTATCGACCGGCGTTGGCTACTGTTTACATCAGGTGTGCTGATATTTTTTCTAGCATTGTGCTGATGCAGCAGTACAGCACGAATGCAGACAAGCGCAGCGCGGGGAGAAAAAGCAATAAATTGATTAGGCAATCGATGGGCGGGCGGAAGCAGTACCAGCGAGAGCGGATTAACGTACCTTCGCGGCTGAACATGAGCGTCTCGGAGCGCATCTTGGGCCGGGAGAGCTTGGCGAAGAGGACGCCGACGAGGATGGACTGCAGCGCCACCCCGGTGAGGCACTGCAGGCACAGCACGATGATGACGTGCGGGCACTCGGTGTTGGCGAAGCGGTAGCCGTAGCCGATGGTGTGCTGCGTCTCCAGCGAGTACAGGTACGCCGAGGTGAAGTCCTTGATCTTGTTGATGCACGGCATCCACTCGGCCTCGCTGAGGTGCGTCTTCTCCAGGTCGTCGTGCAACCAGGCGAAGATGTAGTAGATGATCGCGTAGAACAACCACGTGCTGTAGCAGCCATAATATATATATTTCGTGACCTTAATACATTAACATAAACATTATATACATACCCGAATATGCATATTACGCATATTTAATGCAATACATATGCATATATAGACGCATACATGCCGTGACCTTTTCAAATAAAAATGTTCCGCGATATATATACATATATATCATCTATTATATGACATGTTTATCATATAATATATTATATACATACGGGAATACGTATATATACTATATAACGTGACATATGCTTATATAGGCGCATGTATGCCGTGATCTTTTATATAAAATAGCACCCGATATGCATATGTTAATTACTTATCATATATATAAGCGTATAAAAAGGCATATATGCCGTGATCTTATATAAAAGATTGCAGTATTCTTTACGGTCAATTGGGTAACTTTATAAATATATACTTTATATATCTTTGTAACTTATGCCTAAATTATTTCTTTGCATACTTTAATTAGACTACTGCTAACATAAGCATATATGGACGCGCCCTTTACTTATGCACTGAGATCGTCACGTGACAGCCTCCATGTGCGTACCTGAAGAAGCCCATGGCGAAGATGAGGGCGCACCAACGCCACTTGCAGTCCACCAGCGTGGTGAAGATATCAGCCAGGTACTTGAGATTCTTCCGGTAGACATTGCTGTGGCGCACATTACAGTCGCCCTGCTTACTGACGAAGCGCATTATACTGGGCGGCTTGGCGAAGGGCGTGGAGCGGTTGCCGGCCGCCGGCGACGGGAAGAGGAAGCCATTGGCGCTGCGACTGCTGAGGAAGAGCGGCGAAGCGGACCGGCTGCGCTCCGACAGCGACACCGACGCCGACGACGGCTCCTGCACCGTCAGGTATCCGTTGCGCCGCGATTTACCTGCAGGCAGAGGAACACCCTTCTCAAGACACTGCTGCTTATGCAACGCGTAACGCGATGCCGGGATTAGCGGAGGGGAGGAGTGCTCCGCGGGGAAGCAGCAACATCTGACAGCGCAGCGCTAACTCCGGCCGAGTGATGAGTTTACTTTGCAATTTAAACTGATCGTTGAGGAGAGGGAGCGAGTGGCGGGATGGAGGAGAAGGAATGTTTGTCAGCGCCGTTGGGCGCTGCGGGCAGTGGAGCGGAGCCCCCGCCCGCAGAGCGCGGCTCATCCGGCTTGATCTCCGGCCGATGATTGCCGCCGCTTAATGGACGGTTTTTTTTCCAACGGCAACCGCTTGTTCTTCCCTGATGACTACACAATTCAATTACACTAACTTCCCGCACTTAATCATCCCTCCACCAATTATCGACGGCATCGATCGCATGACTGGCACATTTTTCTCACGCTGCGGTTTCGCTGTTCAGAGGGGCATCAGTTATAACAAGTAGCGGCGTTGCCGGTACCGTTGTAGTGCGGCATAAGGCGCGCTTTTGACGGGCAGGGACAGTTGGTTGGTTTAAGGCAAGAGTGATGGGATTATATTTACGTAATGAGCCCTGTTTAAACGACCATCCGTTCCCATATCAGTCACTGGTGCGGCGCACGCACACGCGTGCATGATTCAGCACATGCGCAAATGCACGCCTGACGTCAGAGTAAATGTCCGCGAATAGCCGCGTATTTTTCCGTACACACCGATTTTATAAGCTAACGCGGTGGTCACGTGCCAGCGGCGAAAGGTCACCGCGTGAGTTTGTTGCCCATTTAAGTGCCGTGCACGTTGCAAGCTTGGAAAAGGAGGGAAAAAAATTGAAATCTACGCAGAATATTGTTGGGTTTCTCGGGGTCCGTGTGGAGCGTGAGGCCGCTGGCAGCTGTCAGCGGCTGAGTAAACAGCGCGTTCGGTTGACTCGGTCCGCGCTGCACACACTGCCGCGCTGTTTATCCTGCATCTCTCCAATCTCGCCAAGTTAGTCTTGCCCGGCAGATAAATATATACTTGTCATCTTGCCCAACGACTCGACATTTCATTTCACCGAAAATTCCCTACCTGCACTCTTCTGCTGACTACAAGAAAAAGCTTAATAACAAACTCGTGCCGGTTGCTTCAACGAAACTTTTAACGGACGTTGTTCGATACGGTCTGACTGCGAATTATTATTATTAATAACAGTGTCTCGGTTGATACCACGATAATAAAAATTTAATAAGGAATTAAATGTCCGTCCTTAACCCGTTCGAAGAAGCCGGGTGCTAAATGGCGTTAATAGCCTATTAACAGCGCCGAAGACACGATAAACAGCGACATTTACCGACAGCGACGGATGCGCCGCGTGCGCTGTGATGCCGATGCCGTCAACAGGCAGGAACTGCGTGCGGCACGCTGTCATTAATGTATTAAATTCCGCGGATAATTTGCGATAATTCCCGCCGGGACTGACCGCCAAAATTCTGCAGTGTAATATTAAATACCCGTAATTATTGGCAAGATTCAAATAGTGCAAATTACGCTTAAATAATCTTCGTAATTAAAATATATTAAATACCCGTAATTGGCCAGAATTAAATATTACCAATTACAGATAAACAATTTCAGTAATTAAAATAAATTAAAATCAGGGCAGGAAATATGATTATGTCAGATCAAATTATGCACCGGTTTCGTGCTACGTTATTAAGGGAATTTTTCCAGCTAATAAACAACCATAATTCCTCGACAATTATCGGAAAATTTAATATGGTTTGATTAATATTTTGCTAAATATATTTTTAGCTTAATCAATAAAATCATTGTTCTAACAATTATTAGGAAACTGACGATGCGCGTTGAACGAATAAATAAGCGCAAAATAAACACCAACGCTGGACGGACGGAAGTCACGTTCCGCCGTGTTAGCAGAAGTGAATGAGCGGGTGAGGGGAGAAAAAGTTGTAGCAATTTAGAGGAAACATTCCTGTCTGGCGACTGAACTACGTAAATTGCCGGTTGTCTCTGCTGCGGCCACTCATCGCTGCAACCTGATACCAGTGCGATTATTTCACTTTTAATAACCCGCAAAAATCCGCTTCAACCGGAAGTTGACGATCAAAGGAAATAAATTATAAATAAAATAAAATCAATGGTAAAAAATAGAGCTTACCGCTTTCGACGTCGAGGAGCGCCGTGGCCGCCGAGGAGCTGGCATCATCCGCCGCGATACTGGACTCGCCGCCCAACTGCAGCTGCGCGGTGCCGGTGCGGCGCGGGCGCATACTTAGCAAGTGGTTGCGCAGGAAATCCAGTTTCGCTTAATTCCAAACCAGGATAAAATATATATTCCGCAGTGCCGTTATCCCAGCGTGCGCCGTGTTTATTCCGTCCAATTAAACATTCCCGCTGGAATGTCAATAAATCCAGCACTGGCCGGAAGCATCCGGACCAATAATTATTATCCACACACTGGCGTTATGATAAACCGGGATGAAGACGCGCTGCTCCGCTTCCGGCTGCTTATGAACGAGATACCGGTTTCTGTACTCCGCGTACATATGTCGATATCGAGCACTGCAAGAACGACAACATGTAGGAAAACTGCACCCGATATAGCAACGACGTTACGGCCACTTCAACCCCGCTCAAATAAACCGCCGTGTTTGCTTTCCCCGTCCGCTGTGCTACTGCGGGCGGTGCAAGCGCGCACGGGGCGCACACGCGCCGGCGATGATGGCCTCATCAGCGTTGTCTCTCCCGCTGCGTGTGCGCCGGGATTAACATTAGCCGCACACCCGATCGCCAACATCCGCTAGCAATCGGCGGTCAGATTAACATCGCGCGTACATGCCGCAGCGGCCGGTAATGAGCGGCTGGCCCGCTCCTGTCAGCTGATCTATTCCCCGGCTGGAACGATGAACAAGTAACAACACAGCCTTGAAACTGACACATTCCAGTCAGTCGATCAGTGTTTTTTTGCGCCCGGGCGCAACAGCTGCGAGTGAACACTTAATACAGCTGTGTCTATCACTTAATGCAACAGCCCATCACAACAACACGCCGTAACGGTTTGTAGGCAGCGTGTAATGCGGTTATGATTGTGATTGTGGTTGAGCATGAAATTGCCGCGGTTTCCGCCTTGTTACGCTGTTACTCGATGGTTTTGGTCGTTAACCGTTTTCCGAACAGCCCAAACCGGCAAACTAGGCTAAATTCACGTACGGCGAATTTAAGGTTGATAGCGCATTAACGTACTTATATACAAGCCCAGCACGGATGAATAATGTCTTAGGATTTCGAGCATGTTAAAAGGTTAATTACATATGTAATAAATAACGACACGATGTTTACTACATTAAGGAGGCACGAACAAAATAAACAGGCATGAGCAGAATCTGTTACTTATTTTGCTCATTCGCAGTTCGCTAATTTCAATGACAATTCGATGTAATAACAATAATTGTAATATAATCTGGGGATATACAAACAGCCCATGTTAAGCTAATGGCCACCATGACAACAAGCTTTCGAGTGACCACTGGACTGTGGGGATTGGGCTTTGCAAAAAACTTGTGATGCAGGAACACTCTCGACACTGAGAGGATTCTGTAGCACTTTAGAACGTGCAGATGGGATGTGTGGAACGGGAGAAAATTGGTTACAACGGCAAAGTGTCGAGGACCCTGGTTACGTAGTTAGTATTCATATAATAAAATTTAATAGCGTCTAAACAATTACGCATAAAAAACTGTTTACTAAAAATATATCTACGGCGTAAAAAAAGTACATAAAAAATGTATATAAAAAATATATGTATATAAAAAAATATATGTATATATGTATGTAAAAACATATATGTGTATAAAAAAATTATATATGCATTAAAACATACATGCATATAAAAAAATATATAGTTATGTGCACACGTAATACATATATGTGCATGTGCTGTGTTTAAAGATATATATACCGGTAAAAGATTGACTACATTGCCGGCCGTGTAATTAGCGCCGTTTCCTCCCAGTTGATTTGGGAGCGGAGCCGCTGCTCCCAGTGCATAGAAAACGGGATTAGCCGGCAATTGAGTGATCATTCAATTAAGCGAGCGCGTTAAGTGCGCTGTTAATCGCACTGACACCGCGCTCAGCCGTCTCTCCGTGAGCGGTGTGGACCGGCACTTAATCCGCGCTGATCACTCGTCCCTTTTCTTGCTTCCTTCCCCGTCAACATGCATCCCCGCCGGACACCGCTACACGGAGTAGCAGCGGCTGCGCGCGGCGGGCTATTTTTATCCGCAATTTCCATTGGCTATGCAGGTAAATTGCCCAAATGAGCGATTACGCGCGGCGCGCTAATCAAACCGAGCCGGTGCGCGCGCGCCATCCAGCGCGCTGTCATCGATCACCGGGTTCCCGTGGATACAATTACACGGACGACAATGCCTACCTTGCTAAGGTCGCTGGCTAATCAAGCCATCAAAATATCACACACAATGAATTAAAAAAAATCCCTCATAATTAAATTTTCCAAAAACCCGTATATTTTTCATTAAATTTACAAGCCGATTTTTCAACTCGTCTCGCAATTTTCTGGATGCTCTGCTCATCCCGCCAAGTATTCCGGGAATTTTTTGGGATGCGGCAGCGGAAACGCGGTTTCCGCAGTTTGACCTTGATGCATATATAGTGAAGGCCGAGCCGCGTTATGCAACAGCGTCGCACAGCTGCGCAGACAGTAATCATTCGGTACTTACATCACATTGGTATATAAACATCGGACGCTGTTTATCCCGCAACAACTGCCAGGTCAGGGCAACGGTCAGCGGCACAACTGCTGGCGTGGACAATATAGGTCAAGTGTTATATGTATAATTAAAATCTCGACACGCAGCGAACGTACTGAAGGCATGCGTGTTTGCGCATAGAAGGAGAAAAAACGGGACAAGTGAGAGAGACGAGAGCCGTGTTTACCGACACAGGGCTTCGCATCAATGGGGAATTAGCGTCGATTCAAGGTCGGGGTCGTGCTGACGGTAGAGCGGATTGACGGTGAATGGAGGCGATAATATAATGTCGGTATATCGGCCGTCATCCGATCGGATCAGCGCGCCGGCCGTCGGCAATCCTTAATCGAACAACACCGATCGATACATCGGCCGCACAGCGCTGTACAGATTATACAGCGCCGCGGCACTTTGTCTAAGCTGCACACAGGTAAGGGGAATAATTGCGCTAATGGAGCGCGGCATGCCGGCGCAGGCACAATGCCTTGTTACGCGGCCGTTGCTGCGAGCCCGGGCCTGAAAAGAGCCGGAGCGGAAGAGACCAACAGGAAATCAGGTGAGCGTGGAGACTCTATTCTCTCGCTCTCTCCCTCTCTCTCTCTCAATAACAACCGGATCAACGCGATACGCGGTGCGCGCGCGTACACCAAAAAATCCCCGACCCCGGCTCTTCCCGTAATCATCCCGGGTTCGCCTGGTGGGACTTCCGGCGGGGAACGGCTGTTCGCTGACGTACAAACCCGGGAAAGGGACGGTGACCTTTGGAATTTTTCACGATCGCAACGCTCGATAGGGTTTTCTCATCAGACGCCGGCGCGATTGCGCGACTCGACGGTGCGCGTTAAGCGGCGTTTGGGGAATTCGGGACGCTGATGGGGAACGTTTCCCCGATCGATGGGATCAGCGAGGGAGACAGTAATGCCGTTGGACAGGCGCGAAAAGTGCGGATAATCAGCGTGTTGTCGCGCGGCGGAATGGGCCGTTGCCGCGCGCGAACGGCTAATGTCGCACACTTGACGACTGCCTTGGGAACACATCAACGCCGCCGGCGACGCTACAGCCGTTGTATTTTTTTACACCGCGCGCAACAGCGTCGAGGTTTAGCGCGTTTACTAAAGCACGTTTTATGCGCAGACTTACCTAATTATCTTCACAGGATGCAAGGGAAATAAATCCAGAAAAAATCAGAGAATAAATACATCAGTGTAGCATCGGATTACAGTATTTTAGTGCCGGGAAGAGTGAGCGTTATTAATGGTGCATACGTGTCCGGAGGAAAGATTAACAGCGCGTTATTCTTGAGAAAATAAACTCGCGGAGAAATATCGGCGCATTGCCAGATCGCGATCGGTTGTGTTGCCGCGTCGGATGCCAATGGAAGAAGCGCGCTGATGATCTTACGCGGAAACATCCGGTGTTCAGTATACAGGCAGCGTTTGACGCAGAACATTTAAATACCGGCATTTGCCTGCGCGTATAGATGAGCGGGGGCGCGCAATGATTTAGTGCAATATAAAAGGCAATTAATTTACATTCCGCTGGCCATCCCGAAATAGCCGGTCGGAAGTGGCTGGTATAGCTGGATATCTGCTGGCGCAGCAGCAAGAAGATGCCCTAACTCAAGCGCATGTAGCGCTCGCTGGAACTACTGTATATGCGTATATGCGATGAGAGAAGAGTTGAGCGGCAACAGCAACGTACACGCTGTTAACATATCGATGTACTGTGTGACTGTGTGTCCCAGCGGAGAGCGGGCAAATTGCTACACGGAGAACGTGCTCGTTACACAGACAACTTCCGGCGGTGTGGTGCAGTGTATGCCGGCGCTGCACGCCAGAAATTAATCATATCTATGGGTGCACATATTGCTGACTTTACATATGTACTGTTATTTTATAATGTGCTTAACCAGTAGTATTTTATTTCTTTATGGCACTTTACGTCACGCCAAACATTACTGGCCTCTTGGAGAGTGGTTGCACGTAATTAATAGCTCTTAATTTAAATCGAATATCCGCTACCAGAACTCAGCTAAAACCACGCTCAGGTATCTCGTTCGCTGAATAAAATTATCGGGAAATGCGGGGTAAAACTGGAAAGGTGGTTTAAATGGAAAATTAAACGAAGTCGATCGATACTGGAAATGTGGCAATTTCGTATCTGGTAGCCGGTATTTAACAGTGGATATACGTTAAGCTTCTCGTCATACTGCTAAAAATGTTTTGTCTGCCGCTCAAGGCAACCTGTGGATAATGTTGATAGTAGATCATCTGATGATCCTAAAGCTTATTTCGGTTTGGTAAGAAATGTAAGCGGAATATGCGAGAGTTTACGCGTTAGCGAATCGGGGTGCAACTGACCCCATGCCCAGCTTTCTTATATTTTAACTCAAATCTTAATGAGACAATAAAAACGCAAACAATAACAACGACATCAAATAACGTGTAGAGCGTAATGCACAACCTAGCCATACAACGAAAAGTCTATTCAAGAAAACCAAAGCTTACCGTACATTAATCGCAATAATCAAAAATTCAAAAATTCGCAACAACAACCGGTCGTCTAAATTGACTGCGTGAAATGGACGTATGCCGACTGCACAAACCACTCGTGACGGCGCACATCGGTGCGGATCCAGCAGTCCACCCGCGCCGGCCGATGATTGGTGTTCTCGTCCATCGTAATGGTCAGCGTGGTGTAGCACACGGGATCGGCCGCTCCGGGCAGCGACAGCGCAGCGGTGATGGTGCCGAGTTGCAAACCGGTAGGACGCAAATTACCGGCGATTGTGTTGAGGTAGTGATACGGCGACGCTACGAAATGCCCGTCGTACTTCCAGATAAAGTGCGCGGCGGTACCCGCCCGGCTGCAGTCCAGGCGGCCGGTGCACGTCATGGAGAAGCTCCACAGCGGCGTGGACACGTTGCGCATGGGCGCAACGAAGACGTCTTGAGGGCGCAGTTTCGGCTCTAGCTCGAACTGCCGGAGGACGGAAAGGTCACCACTGGTGGTCTCCGCTAAAAGGTCACCTTTCGTCAGAAGACACTCTACCGTCCCGGCCGCCTCGCGGGTGACGTTGTGGATCAAGAGAGAGCTGGTGCTAGCGCTGGACGTCAGTCGGTAGTAGTGACCTTTCGTGGAGTATATCACCACATCGACGCCTTGGATGGTGGCGTTGTGGTGGCGCCAGACGATCCGTTGAACCGGTTCGGCGTTGCAGGAAAGGCTCGCCGTGTCTCCCAACGGGACGCGCACGGTGTTGGCCGGTGGCGCCTCCCCGGTAGTCTCGTTCTCGAAGGCCGGCAGGATGATAACGTTGTCGGTCATGTGGGCTTCGGCTTGCTGAACTGCCTTGGCGGCACGCTGCACTGCAATGCATCGAGGGGAGACCCAAAGAAACGTTCAATGCTCTGTCGGCCAAAAAAAGGGCACCAAGGACAACTTACGTGGTGTCGGTGGTGTGATCGGGCAGCTTTGTCCAACGTGTCCAAGAATCACAGCCAGCAAGAAAATGCTATAAACGTAATGTACGGAGTCAACGTTTATGATGGCCATTGCGCGAGATGACGCGCAAATGATTCCGGCAGCGTCAGCTGTCAGAAATGCCAGCCGACATGCACCCAGAGATAACGCTGCACCGGACATGTTTCGTCCGGCGGTGAGGAACTGCAGTGCGCCGGCAGCGCGTACTTGAGTGGTGAAACGGCATTTCGTGCGCTTGCGACCTTTGGAGGAATCCCGCGACGTCCGCGATGATGTTCTGCAACATTGGTTATTACTGCAGCGGATTGATGGCAAGGTGAAGTCTTATTATAATATTAATTATATATTGAGTGTGGCGTACGGATGTGTGTTGTTCAGAATTAATCGGTTGCCAGGCAACGTGGAAAAGGTGCTTGGTAATCCGGCAGTTGCGCCTGTTGCTGACTGTCTAAATACCCGGCTAACCGCTGGCGTATGCTGTCTTCTTGTTGAGTGTAGTACAATTAGGCATTCGAATCCTTCAGAATTCTAACGCGTGGTACCGTTGAGATGTTCGGTGGCATTTCTTATACAAAAACACCGTGCAGTGTGGCCGACGTTGGGGATGTTCGCTGATGTGAACAAGCAGGATACAATCTGAGGAGTCGCTGCTTTTCGGTGCTCAATCCCCCCACAAGCAACCATATAGTCGGACGGTGTAGAAGTTTAAAACTACAGGGCAGTAAAGTCGTCTTATTGAAAGGCCTGTACGATTGATATGCCGACAAGAGAAACGGGAATAACGCCGCAGCGCAGAGTATGCAGTGTATGGTGAATCTCCCACTGAAATAATTTACAGTAGAAGTATATGTGTACCAGTGAAATGCGCAGCATTGCTGGCATGGACTTATAATAAAAGTATATTGCACCAGTATTATTTATTCAAATATTATTTATTACCTATCATTACAATTTACGTAATGCATTGGTTTTCTTACTATAAGTAATATCAGTCAGTTTAATTCAGTGTGAATACAGACAGGAAAGCATCGCTTAAACCAGAATAACTGGTCCCCGTTGATGTGAGACGGGACTGACATCCATAAAACTATTAAATATTTTCCTAATAATTAGTATTATTAGCTGTATTACATATTACTAAGTATTACACTACTGTTATTTCATAAATACGATAAACAACTACGTACTTTCAAGGGGCGTTTTGTTATAATTATAATTACTTTAATTATTTATTTATTTATTTAAATGTTGCTTTACTCATTTTATCCCAATTAATTCCGTGATGGAAATTATAACTGGCCGACTTCTGCGCTATATATGAAACTGCCGCTCAGTAGTGACTTTTGGTAATGATCGGCACGGGGTGTGCATGTTCATTTTGGCCGGAAGCGAGCGTAGAGAGCCACGCGCCAGTGTTGGATATGATCGAAATGTCGGGCAGGCGTGCATCCGGCAGCGGAAGACAGCTCTTCCAGTTCCAGCTGCACAGGCTCGTTATCCACGGACTGATAGTATGGTATCATTGCTCGTTGAGGTATGCTGCAATATGGAAGCTGACAGTGGTCACTGCGTTGACCTGCCCAGCGGATCCACTTCCTCAAGGCCTTAACAACGACAAAAGAAATAATTTTACCAAAATCGTAAAGACTCTAACAATATCGGATAAATAAAAATGAGAACTAGCTGCATTAGAAACGTGGGGTCCGTTGTACGTACCGCGGATGATTAGAGGCGCGATACTGTCGCGCTGGCACCTCAACAGATCCGCGTATCCGCTGGTCGTCGCTGACACACAAAGATTATCCTTTGGCAATCTGCGTCAGCGTCTGATTCATTTAGAGTTTACACGTTGTGATTGCTGGAAACAGGTGTCCTGTACAGGCACAAAGCAACTACACTATGTGGAATCGTCAAGAGGTCGGGACAAGATGACGATGTTAAAGGTTACCCCGTAGTCGAAAACGGCTTGGTGAGGAAGCCGACATGCTTGATGGCAGTTCCACATGACGGACGGATTGTGCGCGATAGGTGAGGCCGAAGTGCTAACGGAATTTTTATATTTCTCGATATAATGTAATTACGTCCTTCAATAAGACGCAAATGCGCTCTATCTATATTAGGGATAATTGTACATGCATAACTTATGAACTGACCGGAGTTACCGTTAAAGGTCACGAGTGACTGTGGCGTGGCACGGGCAGGCTTAATTACGGCGCCTCGTCAGTTCTTCTTGCCCGGAATTCCTTTTTGCCAGCGCCTTCGTATTGATTCTTGTTGTGCACCGTGGCATCCACTAGAGCTATAACATACCGAAGAATGACAACCTTCAGTTGAACGCTTGTTTGCTACGAGTATAACACGAGCATTCAATTGATACACTTTTGCCACTATTTGAAGTTTGAACTGGTATCTGGTATGATAGCATATCAGTTCAAATAATGGGAAAATTGGGAAAATTCTTTGCGTTGTCACTCTTTCTCCTCTCTTTATCATTTCGGCTACTGATAAAAAATATCTTCTTGGGAGGCATTTGGCAGATCCGATCATCTGGCTAATCCGATGCAACATCCGATGCAATTCAGTTGTTTCCATTGGTTTATTGGTGGCACGCCGGTCGCCCGTGCACCCAGCAAACCAATGGAAACAACTGAATGCACAGCATTTATCAAGCGCAGGTTCTTTCTTATACTGATCATTGCTGATGTAGCGAACTGAAACATAAGAAAAATAGAGCACAATTTGTGCTCTAATTTCAGCACAAATAACAAGAACACAAACTTCAGTGTTCTTGTTATATGTGCTGCACAAATAGCAAGAACACTGTGAAGTTTGTTGCAACACAAATTCGTCGACTGCGGGTGATGCAGCATTTATAATCTAAGATGTATTGATCGAGGGGCGCGTGCGCGAGCGGCTTACAGTTACTTACTGTACAAGTAATCCTTAAATACCACCGAATAGACGACAGCATTCCGGCTGCACTTGTTTTCTTCACCCTACAATAATATCTCTCGATAGCGGATCGGAAGGCGCAGCAGCGCACCACCCCCGTGATCTGCCTATTTCTAGACTGCAGACAAAAGAGGTTTTTCACCGACACCACCGGTTATCCGTTAACGGGTCTAGTTAACCAAGCCAATCCTTCCAAGAATTTGACAAACAACATCGCGGCAGAAAGCTGCTGATCACAGTCACGGATAATCGCATGAGCGTTGTCTTATTTACTATCCTGCCCGCTTTACTTGTAAGCTGGAGGATGCCGCGGGCAGTTTATCTGCATGCTGCCACCGACCAGCACGGTCCATGTCCGGCTGGGAGTTGACGGTGACCTTTGCCGGCTCAGCCGTGCTGCCACGTAAGCCAACAGTGACGCCGTTGTATTGGTGCAGCACTTGTTTTCCTTGTGCCTTCATTTCGTCACCACTATATTATAACCTGCTGCCGCGGCAACCACGTCGACATCTTCCCTGTGCCCATGCGGAGGCATCATTCGATTTCGAGGCTAGGGCGCTGTGCCAGTGCGCCATACATCACCTGTGACGGCAGCTCGTACATCCCCGGTCTGCAGCACAGCCCTTGTCTCGGAGCGCGGCGCTGCCGATCCCTACTGCGCCACCACGCTGCTGGTATATTCAGGATTTGACGATGAACGAGCTGCCCATGAAAACATAAGTAACATTTTATTATACAAGTGTTTCAAATTATAAAAACAAATTAAGGAAAGTCGATTCCGTGAAAAGCAAACTTAAGTCCTTAACTACTTCTGAATTCGAAAACTGTTCCAACGTATCAATCACACACTGACTAACAGTTCCAAAAACGATAACCTGAAACAAATGGAAATTCATGAGCGCGAAGTCCCAGGAACTGATCATTGACGAGTCGCCACAAAATTATTGTGCAAGAAGGAAACGTCTAGTGCGCATAACTTGATAGGACAAGGCGCGAGCAGAGAACTCGTTTTCGTGCAGTATGAGACTTGCGCCATGTGTTGCAGAAGCAGCGGTTGTTGATTCGCACGGCCAAGAGCAAACGTTCCCAGAGTGGACTAGCGACTCCACGCGCCTATGGTCCAACCAGATCAGGGCCGACAACCATCGCCACCCGTGTTGACGTCAGCGCAACGGTTGGCTTAATGCAGTTAGGTGTGCAATGAGAAATTGTTGTCTACAAATTCAAATGAAGTGAAGTATATGTCTGCCTGACCGAGTGGCGTCCAGCGGCTGTTGGATTCGTCTGGTCGAAGGCATGGGCACTTGACAATGCAGCACGGCCGGCGGTGTGCTTTCTCTGCTCATCTGTACACTCTGTATTATGCCTGCGCCGACCCGGTTTGTGCTGTTTTCTTCTATTGATCCTGATTCTGCAACAGCCCGTCGCAGCGGTTTGGTTGACAGGATCCAGATGTGTAACTGTTTGATACTGACGACATGATGGATCAGAAGCACAGCGTCATATTTGATAAAAGCGATAATGTGAAAAAAGAAAAGTCAGCAGACATACAGTACAGTACTACATACTGTAGAGCAAGCCCGTCTCACAGGAGTTGCACGGCTGTAGCCGGAAAAATTGAAACATGGGCTTATTGTTAGGCACGCTGCGCCGCTGCAATTTCATCTCATAGCCTGTAGCCTGATGGCAAATTATGCACCAATGACATACAAACACAAACCAATCTGGATTTCGGACAAGTTCGGCAACAAACAGGGTGCGCTATCCTTCAAAATGGTACTGCAAAATTTGGAAGTTTTGCACTGTTTAAATGGTGCTGTGCAAATTGACTTAGTCAAATTGCACATCACAATTTGCACATCTCATCCCAGTAGTCAAATTGTAAGTATCATCACAAATTGCCCGCCATAGCCATGCTGGTACTGGCCGCCATGACCTGCAATCCGAGATGCTAAAAGCTAAAAGCGGGTAGACAAAGGCCAGCCAATCACAGCCATGCAGTGGCATCATCAATTAAGGCTGCCATTTTCGTCGTCAGCAGCGAAAACATGCCTCGGAATGAAAATTACCACAGAACCCCATTCTGTAATTTGTACTGTTGAATGTAGTATTTTGCCCTGTTCAAGGACTGACTCGCAAAACATCACAAATTCGGGTTTTTAGGTTTCTTGTCTGATCAGGATATTGAGAGGTAAGTGTTTGGGAAAGACGGAATATTCTGTCGAAGATTATTCCGCTGGACGCTGGCTATCATTGAGAAGCGAAGCGATGCCCAGACTTGTGCACGAGGTTTAGGGAACATTTTCAAGGTTCTTAATGTGGCAGATGCAGAG